GAACAAGGAAATGTGAAAAAAATTACAGTAAGAATTGTGTTAACGGTTTCCATAAACACTTGTATTAGCCATACACGGAATGGATTTACTTTGTTGGATAACAAAATTCAAACTGCCTTCCCACAGTTCTATCAATTTAGAGTCCCAATTAAGTTTTGTCAGTCTTTGGCATCCAACCGTTCTGAATATAGCCAGCAATCACAAACGTACATGATGCATAGATACCTCGAAAAAAGCTGGCTCAAGTTAAACGCGAATATCTTTATTCATTTTTTATCAATCGGATTCAAGAAATATCAGATATCGCTTCTATCCTGCTTTATTTAAAGTTTCGATGATTTGGGAACAGTTAGTGGAAAGATTCTAGACTCTTGGAAATTCGTAGTTTTTACCGATTCGCCAAACCATCGTTTCCGATTACAACGAAAAGTCGTTACTTTCAATTTAGAACGGTCAGGAGATTTGAAAGCTTATTCACATTAGTGGGCTAGGCGGGTATCTTCTTCCTTTGGAGAAAATATCTTAATGTTCCGTTTCAAAAGATAGAACGATTGAGATACGCAAGGCACCGTTCTGAGCCCAACACAACGTTATTTACCTTTTATCCTAAGGATCTAAAATCATCTAAAACATCCGTTACCTTTTCGTGGCTCCGAACAGCATCATGATGACCCAAAACATCAGTCTTTGCCATGAATAAGCCCGAATCTAGTCATAAATCACAAACGAACACGACAAATAACAGCCTCGAAGAACAGCTGAGGAGACTGCGGGTTCGAATTCAACGCGAGTGTGGCCGTTGAAGCGGTTGGCGCGCGACTGAAGACTGGCGAGGAGGTTGAAGAAACCGCGGCGATCGCGGCCGAAAAGACAGTGCTGCCGTTTTGGTACCATCCGACTGGGTTCTTCGGATTGTACCGATCGTACTTTAGGCGGAAGCTAGGTTCAATATCGCCACGGAAGTCTGCAACTTGGGAGGTTTTGCTTTTCGATATATCTAAGGCATTTGAAACTTCTCACATAGTAGCGTTCCACCACTTTCGTGTCAGGATGGAACGATTCTAAGGCTAAGGTGGGTGTCAAGTGTCTCCAAAGTGGAATTTAGGTCTACTTCCACCTCTTCTGAAGGAAACAGGATACATGTGCAGCAAGCTAAGTGAGCCTTGCATACTCATCTACTTGTGTGTTAGGCATAGGGTTGACAATAAATTGCGCACAAGGCATACACTGAGAGATTAGTCATATACTGAGGAATTTGGGAAAAACTAAAATTTTGCCAAATCGTTTTTTATTTTTGTCTGTCTTTATTTTAAGAAATGTCAAAAAACTAATGGCACTACATGATGGTGTTTTTAAATGTGCCCGAAGTGCACAACATTTAAAAAAGTACGCCCCTGTATATAATAGCATCTTTTTCTACGACTTTAACGATGTATCATGATACATTTGTTTTTTTTTAAGTTATAAACAAACGTGTTTTTTATATTTTTTCATTTTATATAAGTGGGCGTTGCAAACAAATGCTTGATGTAAGATTGTGTGATTACTGAATTTAGCCTAGTCTGACCCTTATCGTTCCACCCTGTAAAACATTATTATAAAAAGAAATTCACAGAAACGTGCACTAATCTAATGCTCTTGTAAGTATTCTTATGTGCTTACTTTCATTTCTGATAAATCTTAAAACTATTAGCAAAGCCTCAAACAAAATACTATTTTTAGTCCAAGGAAGTAGTGATAGTCTATAATTGACAGTATCGTGCTTTGACACTAAGCCCTTGGCGCTATGTTTACTAAATATGGTGCAAAAATCAAGCGCTGATTATCTGGCGTTTTCAAACCTGGAATCTCAGCCCCGTGTTTAGGAAACTACAATCTCTTACCTTGGTTGTTGGAGGATACGTGGGCACTTAATGTCCAACAAGAGTAGGGATGTGGATGCGTCCAAAATGCGTCTGCCTGTAATTCCACATGATCGACGAGTTATAAGTTGGATTCAAGTTATCGAGCTGTCCACTTTTAGCTTCCTCAAAATGAATGCCTAATATCTCTGCGTATAAGACGCGATCTTCTTTGGTCTCTTCTCCTTCTCCAACGTCACTGTAGTCTATGTTTTGTGGTCACTTGTTGTGTTATTTGTAGCAAATGGAATTTTGGAAGAACAAATTTCCGAATAAAACGTTTTTTTTTTGCGCAGAATTACATATTACACTGTCGTGTACACGTTAAATCTTCACTAACCCCCAAATACGTGGTTATGATGAGTGTACCATGTACCATCACCGATGGTGCGACTGATTATACACTGAAATCAAAAAAAAACTGCAACTGCAATTGTATGTATGAATGTTGAAAATCTTGGAACAGTTTCGGATCAGTGGTTTTAAAATGTCGTTGATTAACTGGAAAGAAATGTATGAATGTGACGAAACACAACACCTAACAAACATTTTAGTGAAAAGGCTTTTTCATGTAAGGTTTTGGAAGTGCAAGTTTGCAAATGTAGGATAAACTATAAACACACGGTAGGTGATGTTAAGTTAATATAATCACATATGGATTACAAAAATTTGCAATAAACATGGAAAATCCTTCAGCTAAACTAGAAAAAATGGATTTTACTCAGACATCAAGCATTTTTTAAAAATTTTTATATAATTTCATAATATTTAATAAACTGAAAACATTTCAATGACAAGCTGTCACTTCATATTTTACAGTGTTTTGTTTTAAATACTTTGATGCTATTTGCTGCCAAAAATTTGACGGAGAAATCTTGATGCTGATTGGGTGTATTTGACTGTCTGTTTGGTACTCGTACCCTATTGGTGCAAAATCATGGTTTGTTAAATTGTGAAATCCCCCCTCAGCCTTGCGTATTGATCACATGTGTGTGGTGCTGCCGCACCGACCATATTATCCATGATTCAGTTCAGAAGAGGGCTGTTTGACTGATCGATGACTCTTCTCTAACGGACAGTCTCGGGACCCTTTCGCACCGGCGGGTCGTCGGCGATCCAGCTCTCTTCTGTGGCCACGCCAATAGGCTTTGCTTCTACAAGAGGATGTTCTTCCCAGTTCTACTGACCTTAGGCAGTTCAAAAATCGGAAAAATTTGTTTAAGCACCTCATATGCAGATGCCCTTGCATTTGGGCTTTGCCTGCTCCTGTGTAAAAAAATAGAAATGAAGCTCGATACAACTAAAGCTACACTGGGCAGACTAGAAACAGCGAGGCACGCTTTCGGTCTCGCTTTCGAGAATCTTGACTTCTAGTGATGAGTGAAAACTGAAATAACTCGGGTCATGCACGGTTCACGTGGTCACGATTCAGTTCATTTCTTGAAGTCAACCATGAAAGAACATCTGGTTGAAAGTTGTGCGGTTTTGAGTCCAGTTGTTAGTGCTACAGTGTGTAAAAGGTATTGGCACATTCCATTCTTTTTCAGTCACAATAACGAAAAGATTATTTTTTTGTTACTGAATTTATTTGACAACTAGCATCCAAATAAGTAATTTTTTATGACAATAGATCGGGCAAATTAAAGATAATAGAGTAGTAATAGGTATTTAGAAATTCGGAAGCAAAAAGTATTTCCACACTAAAAAAATAAGTAAATGTAAGAGGTATTACGTTATGAAAAACGGCGTCAAGTATGTATCAGTTCATAAGGGGTATGTTCGGTCCTACGACAAAAAAATGCAGCGAAACAGGCCCATATACACGCACGTTACTGTATAGTTCTAGTCCATTCGATAACGATAACACTGGTTTCTTCCCTGCCCTCGACCATCGGGCAACGCTGTCGGACCACACCAGTCAAACACGTCATATGCGCCATTCACGATAGTATAACATATCTGCCGTCGGTGCTGTCAAACGCAAGGCAGGGTTCGTCGTATGAAAGTCGCCGTTGCATCGCATCGACCACGTGTCTCGTTTATGAATACTAGTATTTAGTTATAAGTTTAGATGTACGGGGAAATCATTGATGTGTGAAGTATGTACTGATACCATGCGCATAATATGTTTTTTGAGTCCTTGAAACCGATTTCCTAACTTATTTAGTTCAGCAATGTTCACTTTTCGAGATATCGCCGAGAATTCTGATTATTAAAAAATAGTGCTTCTTTGATCTAGCTGAAAACATATCCTTGGTAAATCGGGTGCTTAGATTCCGAATCCGATTTGGAGCTAGGATAAACGACATCATAGATGTTTTCACAATCATCTACGAATCCAGCATACGGGGGTAATCTGGAAATCTAGAAGTAGAGGACGCTAGTTAGGTTAGGGCTCATGTCTAAGGTTATACATATAACCAGACAAAGATGTGTCAATTGCTGATCTTTGATGAGTTGCTCACGTTAATGGATGTCAAAATGTGATGAAGTTGTGTATCGTTTTTTTCTCGACGAATTTTTTCAGTTTGACCCCAACCGTACAAGCGCCTCCTAGCTGAAGCAAAATTGGTCATCACTGTCAGATTTTGATCGCATGCGCATGTAGCCAACGATAACCAAAATTGTGGTTTCAATGACATAAAATACGTTGGGCAGTAGCCATTTAAACTTACTACGTCACGCTAGTATTTATTACGGCGTAAGTTTCTCGCGAAGTATTACGTCTGAATCAATCTTTCATCCAATTCATCCATTCAAGGTAGCAGCGGTGGCGCAGTGGTAGACGTTATGCGTCTCCTAATCAGCCGCCGTGCGCTGCGCGGGCTCGAATCCCGTCCCAAGGCAACTTTTCTCTTGGCTGTGGATGTTGTGATTATCCGTAGGTGGTAGACGATCTCTGACTGTCAAACGCGGAGGTACCACCCGGTGGATCTTTAAGGCGCGTTCCCTCTCTAGAGTCCATGTGGCGTCTCCTCGTTCGCCTGTATCTCCTTATATTCTCACGGCACCCATGAATTTCTAGCCCTTGTTGGTGGTTCAAGTGTAATAAAAAAGGTTTTTGAAAATGGCGTACTTCAAAGAAAAATAAAACAACCATTATTCAACTAATCTATATTTACTAAAGTGTCGTTAAAAATTATGTACAAAGAAATAACGTATTTCTACACATTTATATTGGTAATTTACAGTGATAATAACAATTTATGAAAAAGGCACATTAGAGTGTAGGTCTTACACGATTTTTTTATATTATTACATTTTGTTCTTTTTTTTTTTGTTGAGAAGTTGACATTTGCTAGTTCCCAAGATAAAAATAATTACATTTATAACATCGCTATGATGTTGATCCAAACTAGCAAAATGTGAATTCTAACAAGTCTACTATAGAATAAACATATTTTTAAACATGTATAGACCGCAAGCATTATGCGGTAATTCAAGGATATGTCTTGCCGAGCAAGGAAAAATTGTGCAGATATTTGGTACATTCAAGGTCATCTTTTGATGCAATACACCTATACGTCTGTACAAACAGCAAATTATCTTTTCTGCCTTCCTAAAATTCTGTTCAAACCATTTCAATATGCACAACTAGTTAGCAGTTTAGTAAACAACAGCTTGAGAGAAAGGAAAAATCGGCATCGGCGGGATTCGAACCTGGATCTCGTCCATTCCGTGGAACCAATTAATCCACAGCACCAGCTGCCAATCTAGTTTCATGATCGACTGTTAGAGGTAAATTTAATCCTACCCACGCCACTGCCTTTTGTTCTTTCTAGCTGCTTGCTGCCCCCTCTGGCGGCGACTAAGTAGCACAAACCGGATTAGTAAGGTATCTTCAATCGCTTTGTAGTTGCACCACGCTGTCTCGTGTGCACACACCACGGTACCACCGTGCGAGTACCCTGTTTTTAGACTTCTACCATCGCATGGTGGTACTGTGGTGTGTGCCCACGAGGCGGCGTGGTGTAGGTAGAAAACGGCTGGAGGTACCTTACCAATTCGGTTTCTTTCACTTGAATGCCAGGTGGAGCATTGAGCAGTTTGAAAGAACAAATTCATGATTGACTGTTAGAAGTAAATTGAATCCTACCCACGCCACTATCGATTTGATCTTTCTAGCTGCTTGCTGCCCCATCTGGCGGCAATCAAGTAGAACAACCGGATTAGTAAGGTATCTTCAATCGCTGTGTAGTTGTACCACGCTGTCTCGTGGACACACACCACGGTACCACTGTGCCAGTACAGTAACCTGTATACAGTTTTTAATTTACTATCATCGCACGGTGGTACCGTGGTAAGTGCCCGTGAGGTGGCGTGGTGCAACTAGAAAGTGACTGGAGATTCCTTACCTATCCGGCTTGTTTCACATGTACCCCGTCAGATGGAGCATTAAGCGGCTTGAAAGAACAAAAGTTTCATGCTCGACTGTTAGAGGTAAATTCAATCCTATCCACGCCACTGTCCTTTTGTTCTTTCTAGCTGCTTGCTGCCCCATCTGGCGGCGATCAAGTGGCACAAACCGGATTAGTAAGGTATCTTTTATGGCTTTGTAGTTACACCACGCCGTCTCTTGTGCACTTACCACGGTACCACAGTGCGAGGATAGTAACCTGTATACGGTTTTTAGGTTACTATCATCGCACGGTGGTACCGTGGTAAGTGCCAATGAGGTGGCGTGGTGCTAGTAGAAAGCGACTGGAGATCCCTTACCAACCGGTTTGTTTCGCCAGATGGGGCATTAAGCAGCTTGAAAGAACAAAAGAACATTGGCATGGGTAGGATTGAATTTGCCTCTAACATTTAAGGTCGCCTTCATGGAATGGAGTTGATGCGGGCTCGAATCCCGTCGAGGCCTATTTTTCCTTTTTCTGATGTTGCTGTTTTCTAAACGTACTCGCTGTTGTGGATGCGCTCATCCGAAGAATCTGATAGTAGTTAGAAATCATCTGTATTTATTTTGTGTTCGTAAGTTTATAGTTATGCAACAACTCTTTAATAAATAAATTTTCTGGTTAGTTGGTTGACGTATACACATTTCTCTACAATCACTTACTTAATAGTGTGAGAATTTTCATAGCACTTTAGAAAGTGATAAGGATGCAGAAAGACCGAAAAAGGACAACGCGTTTTCAGCAAAAGTAAAAATGTGACTATCTCAGTCCTGTATCGGAAATTTTCCGACACAATATGACTTCTCATAGTATTATCAAATCGTTTATACAGAACACACACCGTTTCCCCATATTTTTGTGATTTTCCTACCTTTATTACAGATTTCGCATGAAGACTAACTCGTACGAAAGTTAGGAATTATTATCCGAAATTCCTCTTCGAAAGGTTGGAAAATCTCGAAACTGGAGTTTCTACAGACCAAAATATGTGAATTGACCTAAACATACCTCAATCCAGAAGTTGATAGTTTGCGAGATACAGGGTGTCGAAGTTACAATTTTATTTTCTATTTTTCCTTATTGCTCGAGAAGTATTTCAGATTTTGGCATAAAACTCGGTATAGGGAGGTTTGCTAGTATGAAAAACAACAATCCGTTATTTTTTATGACAAAACTTCTAGATGGCGCTAGTTACAGCACTATTTCGGTAAATAACTCATCATAACTTCTTTGTCTTAAGTAATGAGCAAAAATACAAAATAAAATTGTAACTTTGACACCCTGTATCTGGCAAAGTATTAACTTTTGGACTAAGGTATGTCTGGATCAATTCACATATTTCGGTTTGTAGTATCTCCAGTTTCAAGGTTTCCCAACCTTTCCTTCATCCTTACCAGACATCATTTTGTCAGGGCCCATGACGATAAAATAAGGACACTCTCTATGTTCGCAACAGAATTTTGCCTGCTTGAGTTGATAATTCTAACTTTCCTTACAAGTGAAATGATTCCCATGCATTTGAAGAGTACAGTTTATTTGTCATAAAATCTACTGAGGTATTGCGCGAAAGAAGAGCACACAATCTACAATACCATTTATTGTTAATAACATAGAAGACTTAAGGAGTTGAATTTCAAATATTATCATTATGAAAATGTAAAGATGGACAAACATAATATTTTTCAAAAGAGTATCTTAGAGTCCCAAGAGAAAACTCCAGAAGTATTGAATTTCGGTTCAATTTAGAGGGTGTCCGCAAACTTGGGGTTTTCCTTTTCAGACACGACTGTGCTTGATAGAACAAAGCTAATGTGTGGTGAAACGTGAGCGAACAAGTTAAAGAAAACGGAAAAGTACTCACTGTTCAGTTGAATTTTAATTAATAAAAGTACGGCTCTGTCGTATTTACATCGTAGTCGTACGTCATATAACTGTACACTGGCGCTGGCGCTGTGGGCGTGATCGAAGGATAGGACAGGACTGGCTTCGGTTTGATTCAGGTTTGTTCGAGTTTGCGGAGCTCAATATCTCGGTTTTCTTAAGGCATTGGTGTATGTGCTACTAAGAAAATACGCTTAGTTTCTGAAGATCTACACGTCGTCTAAAGAAAAACCCGAAGTTTCAAGTAACCGGAATAAGGGACTGGTAAAATAGTTGTCAACTCCTTATGTCACTTCTACACTTTACTTTTTCTCTCTCAACTCTTCCGCTTTCACTCGTCTTATATATACCAGAATATTAAGCAACTTTAGGGTAATCCAACCTAATTACGTATTTTCATCAACAAACTATTCTATAGCTGCCAAGTTTGAGGTGCAATCATTTTTCTTTGTTATTACATCTTGGTTCGCCCTTTAGAAACATTTATTTCAAGACGGTGAGGTCCAGTTGGAGCTGCACATTTTGTTTTTGACGCTTTCCTTACTCTGTCAACTGATTGATCGACAGAGTGACAAGTCATTTTGTAAAAATGGAACTTTTGCTGTCTACTGAGTAGGATGAGTCTAGTGGGTTACTCAAAATATTTATTTTAGTTGCTTGACATTCTGCGTTCCGTGTTCCAGACACAAATAAGAAATCTATATTATTCAGCTACCTAAACCTAAGCTGCTATCACAATAAGAAATGTTGTCGACCGTTATTGGTCGTTAGAAGCGTGATTCGCCCCTGTTTCTGGGAGGGGCCGCGTACTAGGGCTTCAGACGCTTGAATCCTGCGCCGTCTTGACCTAACTTCAGCTCTTCGTACAGGGTCGGATTCACTTCTTGTTGCGCGGGTACCTGCAGTTGTTCATTCTTCCAGCTACGGACATAAAACGTCATACATATTATATAATGATAATAATAAGTTTTTGTAACGACAAAACTATGGAAACATTTCAGTTTCCATATTTATTCGTTCATCGATACTCTGATATTGGGTGCGGTAAATATTAACATCAGTGAGAATGGTAAAAGACAAAGAATATTCAAAAGATTTAAGAGACAAAGTAATTGAATTATTTATTACCGCAGCCAAAAATAACAAAATAAAAAATAAAGATTCGTAATTTTTGTTGCACTATAACCTCTCTTTAAAGGATCCTTGTTAGTGCATGCCAGGAATATTTGTATGTTGTCAGAGAAAAGACGTGTACCTACCCGTGACCGCCAGACGTCGTTGATACTGCAACTCCATTTTGTGCTGAACCGTTTGCTGTTGTAGAACTCTCTACTAGCCCCGTGGTGCTACCTCCATTTTGATTGACGTGGTCCATGTTGACTTCACGCAGGTAACTTGGGTTTTCGAAGGCGACTCCGTTGCCAAGCCCTTTTCCACCTATAAGCCTGTTAACAAAAAAAAAACAACGTTGAGTCCGCTGAAAGTTGGTTTAGTCTAAGAAGATTTATTGATCCAACGGTATTCAAAACGTTGCAAGGGTCAAATTTTTTGAAAACCACTTCCTTGAATTCTTTCAGAGACCAATGTGGATTTGTTCAACAATAGCATCTTGACAAAATATTTTGTTGTTGTATGTTCGTAAGGTGCATTTTTTAGTATATATTCGCTACTCTTGAATTGTATGCTGCAGAGCTATTAGCCTTAATGTATCGGATAATTTGAATCGCTAGTGCTGATGATCCTTTGTTTCTTTGGTGGTGCTCCGCTGAAGTACCTCTTCCAATACGATTCTAGGAGATTCTCTTCGACACGTTCCTTCCTCTCTTCTAGGATCGAGGATCGATCTTAATATCAGATGTTATTCACGAGTATGGTCTGGATTTGTCCTTATTCGATTTTATATCGTAGCCTCTAGTTCGGTGCTGTATTCAGTTGCCATGATATCAAGGAATGAATCATTGGTGTTTTCTTCTAATTCTCCCCGGTCACGTTCCTCCCTCTCTTCTAGGATCGATCTTGATATCAGATGTTATTCACGAGTATGGTCTAGATTTGTCCTTATTCGATTCTATATCATAGCCTCTAGTTCTGTGTTGTATTTAGTTGCCATGATATCAAGGAATGGGTGATTGGTGTTTGCTTCTAATTCTTCTCAGTCAGGTCGCAGACTGATCAGGTAGCCAAAATAAATTTACAGTTTTAAATTACGCGATCCAAGGTCTCCATATCAAAGCAATGGTTTCGACAAAGCAGAGGTATACCAAGGGAAGATAGATGTGTAAAATTTAGAGAGAGATAGATTAGCCAAACAAATTTAAAAGGACATAATGACGTTTAACCATGTGTTGGTGTTATTTGGCGAGAGACGGATATGGTGTTACCAGATAGACAATGCTTTTTTGATGAGTTTATTGCTCATAACTTGTAGGCAAAGATTAAACAATTTTGTTCAAATTTACTTTTGTTTATACATGATGGGGATATTTATCACCCGTTTGCAGTCTACCAGATCTGTTTTTCATTGAAAGTGTATGTCGCAAGTTGGAAAATATTTACGTAAGGGGGGCAATCACAAAATGTATCAAACATTGATTGTTGGAAATCTACCAATGGATTCCATACCATAAGCAGTTCTGGAACCCATATTTTAACATACATACCAAAGCTTTGAGGTAACCAAAATTTCAAGTTCCGAAAATCTATAAATGAGCCAGTACGACCCTGCCACCCTCCCCTCCCACAATCCCCTCCTACGAAGAAGGTATGATGTTGATGTACTATGACTAAGTGAGTCAGTATCCAAATCAGGCGTGGTGTCCAGGCTAAACTAGTTTATAAACGAGTTTGAAAAACCTAAATTGGTATATCCCTAGAACAATAACTTAGTTACCGATTTAACGTGAGCATCTTCAAGATCCTATTGATACTCCGCGAGTGTACTCAGAACGTCGCCGTCGTCTTCGATGTTTTTTCCCATCAGAGCTGCGTAAATTTAGGAAGAGGAAAACAAACTCATATTTTTGAATCGATTAGCAGTATTTATAAGTAAAACATGGGACAGGTAGTACTTGAGATACCTTAGTAAATGAACAGTGAGTATTTTTCTTCAACTTATTATTTACGTTTTCGGTGCTGTTTTACCGCATATTCGCTTATATTTGAATCGATGTTGTAAAATGTTGTACAAGAGGCAACCAATAAAGCGGTACCAAACATATTTAAAGGGTTAATAAAGCCGGCTGGCAAATTCCAAAGGTATTCCCCGCAGTGCATTTTCTTGGTATATTTCCTCGGGGGTTTCGGTTTGATGGTGGAACGATCAGCGGGGATTTCTTTGAGCATCACACCTTACATACTGAAGGCGCCGAGGCTTGTAGGGAGACAGGGGAATATGTGACCCGCCTTCAGTACAAGTTTCAACTCACTAGAGTCATTTGGTTGTTCGTAACGATTTTTCCATTGTGTTCTTCCGGTATGCTATCAGGTTTTGCTTAGGGACATAGTGAAACGGAAACTCTTTGTAAACAGACCTTCGGAGATGTTTTGTCAAAAACCCATGTTTTTCGGTGGTTTGAAGCATTTTCAAGAGGGAAAGTGTCGATTGAAGATGAACCACGAAACGGAAGGCCTCGACAGAATCCGACATTTTATATTATGTAAAAAACCTATGAAACGTCAACAAAAAAAAAACCTATGAAATGTCATCTTGTAGACTAGGTAGTTTTTAGGGTGCAAACAGTCATTCCACGTTTGCTCACTGGATCGTTGTGAGCGTCCATCTATGGAGGAATAGCTCAACTACATGCATTGTTGGTTGCATATGTTTTGTGAAGTCGAGTAGTCTATAGTTTTCGTCTCTGAGAAGAAAGTTGGTTGAATAACAAGATCACATCTGGATGTTAGTGTGTAATCGGTCTACATGTGTATAAAATCAGTGATACTTGCTGTGTGAATAAATCCCTGCTGATTATTCTTTACAGACCTCGTATGTATTCTCCAAAGAATCATAACCTCACAGTCAGAATTTGTTCATTCGGTTGTTAATAAAGACAAGTAGGAAGCAATTATCAGCTGTACCCTTTTATTAGTATTTTCGAGACACACAAAGTGAAAATATCTGACAGTTACCTTCTTGTTTTGGCGAACCACACTCCTGCAGCTGCCACAGCTGCAACTACCCCTATAGCCGCCAGCACTGCTGCTGCTACGCCTCCAGCCGCTGCACCTCCTTCATCACGAGCCGCTGCTGACGAAACCACCGCCCCTCGAACTCCGTTGCCGCCCATGGTGAAGCGCAGGGCCGGCGTCTCTTTTGACGTTCCTTTGCTGTTACCTGCCTTTACGAAAGCTTCGTACGTTGCACCTTCTATAAAAAAAAATAATCTGTTGGCTCTCGTTCATGAAGAAAGATCATGTCAATAACACAAAATGCTCTTTCACGATTTTGCATGTTGGGCTTATTTTTTAAAATTAGCTCCATTTTCGAAATAATGAGCTCCATTTGTTCTTTCGTTGTGAAGTAAGCTAGGTAGGCAGAAGCGCAAGTTGTACAAAATGTGTGTTTTAAGTTCATCTATGAAATGAGAGTCTCAGAGTCCGTGACAGGACAAACGGGTGTCATTTAAAGAAAATTTTAATACCCGAATATTTTGGTAAAACTGATTTAAATATATAATATTTGAGTCTTTATATAATGTACCGTTGGCCGTTGACAAACTTTCGTCAGCCTAGTAGTCTGCGAGATATTTTAAAAATAACAATTTCTGGGAACATTTTGGACACACAAATTTTGATAAAGTTTCTCGTTATATCTTCGTATGAACTTTTTTTAAAAATCAAAAGCACAGTTTAGAATAATTTCGGTGATTTGGGATACATTTTGTTAGTTGGAAAACCAAGCCGTAAAACTGAAAGTTGCTCAACGTGTCCAATATTCGGGTTGTTACACCCTGTTGGACAATTTCTTGAGTCCATAACGTAGCGTTTTGATAGCAGATGAATCAGAATTTAAGCTACGATTTTGATTACCTTTGAGTTCAGAAATCCTTAATCTTGTGTCAGCTGTATCACCCTTTTGCCTGAGTTTATCATTAGAATTGTCCACCAGTCTCCAGAATACCCTGTACAGTTCAACAGTATGTGGGTTCTTGATTGGTGGGTCCCAGATCACGTAGACAGAGTGCGAGTCGATGTATTCGATTTTGACGTTCTGAGGTGGCCCAGGCAACGATGAACTAAACAGAGAAAAGAAACGTATTAGAAAATTGTATCACAATGCGAAATTTTTATATTCGTCCATATTTGCAAAAAATTAGCAAAGTCTACAGCAGAAGTACTACAAATAATGGTGCTGCCGCGTGAGCAGAAACCTAAATACCGGGCACCGCGATTGTCATCATGATAATGCAATGAAACAAATGGAACCAACACAGGAAAATCACTGAATATTAAGTAAACATATTGTTCAGATCCTGATATGACAGAGAAGACTTTACAAAAAAGTACTGCTCAGAATACCTTTAACATTTTATCAGCGTATACTTCCATGATAGCAAATATGTTCACAAGTCTTTATAAATAATTCTGGGTGCTGCATTTTGTATGTCACTTAGTATAGTTATAGTTATCATATAGTCATAGTTCACTTCAAATAGCTAGAACCAAAATGATAAGGCTGATTCCTTGTTCAAGACTGGACCATAGATCTTTGAGACGGATAAATAAAACATAATTGTTTGAAATCGGTGTGTAAACAAAAAAGATCGCATTTTCAAGTAGAATCAACCTGACCTTATGTTACTCATACTAATTTATTAAAAAAATCAGTGGTTTGTAAGTAGATTTGGGATATAATTTTGTATGTATCAATACATTTCAAACGAAGCAAATTAACTTTTTACTTCGTAGGTACTTCCTACTGGGCGAGGCATTGTAATTGAGAAAAATTGGAAAATGTGATATTATGTTTTCGCATGTTATGTCACACGTACATCACAAAAAACCATGTACTTAGGGTCGCTTTTTGACGACTCACAAGGTCCTGGATATTTTCAGAAATTTTGTATAGGTATTAAAAGTTGAGTGTTGGCGCTTGTTAGGGGTGGTGGAAGATATATCTCAATTTTTTGGCACTTGTATATTTATACGCATTAAACTTGCACATTTGTACATTTGCCTTGAAACTTAGGGGACATTTTTTGAGACAGCAACGTATAAAATAGGTGGATAAAGTAGACGACAACGATGTCCTTGTGTTACCGACCCGCCATATAGTACGGTCAAAATATGATACGGTATAAACAATAATGAAATCTGGTTCATATGTACAAATTATACATTTGAGCAATGTGCAATAACCTAAAAAGCCCTAATAGTTCGATACAATTGGTTTGAATGTAGCGAATCTGAAAAATCGCATTGTTTCGATACTGTCATAGCAACGAGTTCACATAATGTGACTGCACTATGAAGACCTGAACTCCTCCACGCCCCTTCCGATCCCCGCAAGCAGGTCAGCCCGATGCAATAGAGCGCTACTAGGGAATATATTTTCAGTTATATGCAGTCAATCGTACGACGCGCGAGGTCTTGAATACGAATGTTTTCCGCCCTTGAGAACGATCTGCTCAGACCGGTCAGCGGCCCACGGAAATCGAAAATTATATGTACAAAGGCGCTATGAATGATGGAAACCCATCTTGCAGCAAATACTTTTCGGATAGTGTTACTGTCAGTGCGCATGATACTAATATTAGTAACGAGGGCAGCAATGATAGTCAGGAATACCGTCGTATTTTTAAAAAAAATGTGCCTGTCTGTTGATGCTCAACAGTTTTGCATTAATTTTTATAATGGACTGTTACGTGAAATGCGTGATAGAAGAAATTGTGTCTTAAAAAAGCAGCCGAACTGACTAACGAACCATATCCTACACTTTGTAAAACTATTCGTAAGGGTGTCAAACCAAGAAAAAAAAGAATTGGCGAAGGAAAATCTATACCTTCAAGTGAATCAACAACTGCCAAAGAAAGGAACATAGTGTATGATCATTATTAACGTAATGAAATTTCCACAGCAGAGATGGTACAGCGAGAATCGATGGAAAGAGGCGATACTTGTTCCTTGCTGACATTTCAGAGATTTAAAACATATAACAGTCAACGTTATCTCAACAACTTGATTCAGTCATCTCTCATCTTATCCAGACTTGCAAGAAAAAATGTTTGAAGATTTTCAGATCCGTCTCTGTCCTCATGCCTCCGGTTATAGCCGTTTTATGACTATCAGCAAATATGTAATCGAATCTAAAAGTGTTGTCGTCTACTATACTATGGACTGATTGTATAAGGCTGATGGACTGACTCGATATTTTTTATCCATTTTCATAGCTAACTAAATATGTTCAATGAAAATAAAATGAAACAGATTACAGTCATTGAATTCACAAAATTACGAGAAACACTTTTGCAACACAATATACCTGAAGTTATCGATAATGCCGACAACTACTTCGCACAAATTGTAAGTAATATGGATAAATATATTAGAGAAGCGATGGTCAAGAAAATAATATACAGGTATGAAAGAGTGAAACCAACACAGATATTCAAGGAGTCTAAATTAAAACGCGATAACGATTACAGAAAATTTTCAGTAACCCAAAGTGAAAATGATTGGAAACAATATACATAATCAAGAAATGAGTGTGTAGCAGTACTCAGGAGGGAACAGAAAAAACACTATGATCAGAAGATCGATAGCAATAAAAATAATTCTAAAATGATGTGGAAAACAAACAATATTCTTTAATATTGTGCTCCTAATAGAAAGACTGAATTATCTAAAATGCGTTTCGAAGATGGAGTAGTGATAGACAAATTAATTATAGCAAAAAGAATGAACACTTATTTTATAGAAAGCGTAAATCAAATAGTGAAGACGGTTGATGACGGTGATCCAAACTTATGTCCATTACAAGTATATTAGAATTCATCAATGAAGCAACTTAGGACAATTAACATCAACAACCTAAGAAAAGCTATCTCAAAACTGAAATCTAATAAAAATACAAGTACGAATCTCTCAAAAAATATTCTAAAGGATTGTTTCAATGTAATTGGAGAGAAATTATTATTATTGCTGAATCATTGTTTAGTACATGGTGAATTCCCATCAAAATTAAAGTGTTCCACCATTACTCCTGTGCGGAAAGTTGAAAATTCTAAGCTGTATACAAATATGCGACCGATTGATGTCTTGCCCGATGTCGAGAAGCTATTCGAAAGGATAATATACGAACAAATCATAGAATTCATTGAAGAAACCAAAATTTTGATAAAAAATCAAGCTGGGTTTAAAAAAAAAATGTTCCGCAGAAACGGCAATCCAAATGGTGGTGGAAGACTGGAGAAGAAGTATAGATGAGAAAGAATATATTGTAACAGTATTTTTAGACTTCAAAAGGGCATTTGAGACTATAGATAGGGAAACATTGTTAATGAAATTGCGTAACTATGGCTTTAAAGGATAGGTATTACACATTTTACAAAATTATTTAGTAAATGGAAGTCAAAAAACTAAAGTTGGAAATATTATGACAAGTGTTCAAAATATATCAGTAGGGGTGCCACAGGCGAGTAAATTAGGGCCGTTACTATTTATTATCTAAATAAATGATTTCTCTGACATTTTAGAACACTGCAAAATTCAGATATTTGCGGACGATACACTTATATATACTCGTATAGCACATAAGCATTTGGACACTACTTTAGAACTGTTAAATAGTGATATTGAAAAAATTATGAATTGGTTAAATGTCAATAAACTTAAATTAAACACTAATAAAACAAAATGTATGTCAATAGGAAAACATGTAGGTAAAAATACAATTAGGCTCATGATTAATGATTAAAAAATTGAAGAAGTCGAGTCATTTAAATATCTTGGTATATATACGTATGTGGCTAGTAAGCTACATTATGAATAAATTATTATTTCCAGAATATCGAAAAAGACAAATTACTTCTATAGAGTTTCCCATAATCTTAATATGTATTCCAAAAAAATTGTGTATAACACAATAATTTTTCCCCATTTTTTATATTGTTCAACCATCTTGTTTACGGCAAAAGAAAACTTATTTTCAAAATTACAAATTAGAATTTGTAGACAAAATAAAGCTATAAGCTATATATAAAGCTATAAGAATCATTTTAAATAAAAACAAATATGCTAGGATTAAGTCTATGTGAGAAGAACTGCAGTGGTTGGATGTGAAAAATTTCATATATTATTTAGTTCCCGTTTTCATATTCAAATGAAAAAATCATATATTACCACCACATTTAGAAAACTTCACAAAATTAAATAGTCATCATAACTACGAAACTAGAGGCAGTATAGATTTTTACCTGCAAAATTGTAATAGTAGCATAACTAATCTATATTTCAAAAGGGAGTATTTGAATTTAATAAATTGAATAATGATATTAAACAGAGTTCGAATTTAAAAATGTTTAAAGCGAAATTAAAAAATCACTTTATGAATAATCAAAATGCATAGTGAGTCATACAAAATTGACATTGTAGCACTAATGATAAATAAATCTTCAACAACAACAACTTTTTTCTCAGAGGGGCCAACAGTTGCCGAACATAATCCTTTATGGACGCATTGCATAGGAAGTGTAGAGTCAACCTATTTCCGCCTTAATTTTCCTGCAAGATCCCGTATTCATGTTTAAAGTCTCTATTAGATTTCTGTCATTCTCAGACTGTTTTTAACTGGACTATGAAATTTATTGGTCATAAGTTAAATATGGACCTGAGCCTGCATCAAATTTCCACCGAATACTCACCCAGTACCGGATGCTCCGCTGTTCGATTTTCGTAAGCCGGCACGCATGACGTCACGCAGAGAGTGTCTCTCATTTAGATTGATATTGGTAACGTGCATATTTTCACCTACAGGCCAAACGGCTGGACGGATTTTCACTTATGAGGTGTCGTTGGATTCGTCTTAGCAGTGCGAGTGACACTCGCAACATTAAAATTTTATAGAAAACAAAATGGCGGATTTAAATAGAAGATTTCAACCTTGTAATTCCTATCTCACAGGCTATAACTTAAATAGCTTTCTAGCTCCACAATAGAGCGTGTATCGTCACTTTACTGTAAGAACAAGATTTTTCTACATTACCTATATTTTAGTATCTTCTGTGGAGCAGGATTAACATGTTCAAGATGTTAATACTGCACTACATTTATTCATCCTTATTTCACAGAACATTCTAAGTACTAACTGCATGCAAGTGTGAAAATGTACGCAACTCGCAAAGTAGGAAAATGGAGTTATCATCTTTTTGCAGTAAGCTGGCGGTATAACAATAGATGGAAATGACTTAGTCTGAGCCACAATTTTTCTCCATTTCCTTTTACGATTTTTCTGGTCCTTCAAGCTTTTATTCAGTTCTTTGATCCGGAAGAACATCCTTGACCTGAAAAATAGTTTCTTAGCCTTTTCAGGGCAGTCAATTTTGCTGCTCTTCAACGGAAGTTCGCCTATAAAATTTTGCTTTTCTGTCACTATTCCGTCCCCACTGATTGTAGTAAACACCTTAGTAAGCTTCTCAATTTGATCCATGAAAGCTGTGGAAGGTTTTGATTATCCATTCTCATTAAGATGGTCTATCTAGGAGTAAGTTTTATTTGAGGAACTTTTCAACCCCTCATCCTGAAATTTATGGCAAACAAAGCTGGCCAAATTTTTCAGCCATCATACTCGAGCTCATCTATTTCTTCCACTAAAACTTCCTCTTTATAGCCAGCTGATACTTATTCGTTAATGATGCGGTTAGTGGAATGTCCGGAATATCCTCTTCCTCTACGCTGCAATACTCTGAGTATGCGGCTTCGTTTTGCTCCGAAATATATGTATGACCTTATTCTATACTTCAACTCTAGGGGATAAGTTGAGCCCTTTGCCTTTTTCGTAAGCACCTTTCTGCTTTTTCCCATCAGCAGATGTGGTCCAGGTGATGATAGAGACTTAGGTAAATTTTCCATAGGAATGGCACCATCTTTTAGAGCACGATATCTTTTAGGGGTGTAACCCAAAAGGGTATGTTTCAAATTGACCTTACAGGCATTTTCACTAAAGTGCTTCGAGCAAACCCTAGCGCTTTTTACATTGACGTTTATTTTTGTATGATGTAGCCATTTTTTTGCTAAGGTTTGGGTCTTGAGGAAAACTGTGGAACTTCATATCTTTGCAAGGATTCCGTTTAGATTTTTAGTCGGAATTACATCCCACAACAGCACACCGCATTTTTACCAATTGACTAACATCACAGGGTATATAAAGTATGTATAACTCATAGGACAACAAGTCGTAAACCGACCAAAAATCACCAACAAATCGCACTATATACAGTATATTCAGATAAGAGATAGACCGGATGTAAACAAAAGGTTCGGGTGATTTTCACGCTAACGCCGCCGTCTCGACGTAAAACAGGAGCCCTCATTGGTAAATTCGCAATTAAATGCCTATGCCGAGCGGCAGAGCAGTCGTATCAAGGCAGAGTCACATTCAGGTTCAGACGTGTTACGTATGTCGTGTGCATCATTGCAATTTGATATTTCTTTGGTCGTTTTCGTTTGTTATCTTATTAAGTTGTTGAGTTTGTCGTTGTTATTGTTATACCTTGTTATTGATTGTTATTGTTATCAACTGCTTGCGCAAAATGCCCAGTAGTACAGATACTGCCGATGAAGTTGTAAACTCCTGTAGTCCACCTAGGAAACGCTCTAAAAAAAGAATCCTGAGTGCAGAAATGAAAGAGGTCATTTTGAATATATATAAGATCGAGCGCGAGGAGAACGAGGCATCAACCATCAAAGAAATTGTTGTGAAGGTTTCTCACAAAGTTGGGGTGTGTCGCGCATCAGTGTTTAATGTGTTAAGACAATACAAAAAAAATCACACCTTTTCTGAGCCAATGACCAGTAAACATCGCAAAAGTATTGTTAAATCATTGGATGAAGCGAATTGTGCTAATTTACTACAAAGTTACGCAAAGCAGCATCTACTATCTAAAATATGTACTGCGTGACTCTTAATACGTCCCTGCCGAATGTTACAGCGTTCGATGATCACGTGGTCTTGTTTATGTTCGGTCTATCTCTTATCTGAATATACTGTAGTATTCCACGATACACGTGTACTGCAGTAACGTTATGCCAATCCTGCCACTAATAACCACGAGCCGACAACTCTCTGAGTGACGTCACGAAGCTCCGCTAACATGCGCAACATCCTATCTTCAGTGTACGTGTATCGTGTACTCACCTGCCCTCGTGGAAACAAGTCATAATCTGCTTCGTATAACTAAGCACGCATATCTTGCTGTTAAGCACCGGCTCTCCCCGACACCAGTCCAAACACCTTCTGGGCACGTTGTGGTGGGCGCAACAGCTGCGATGGTCGCTGCCGTCTGCAGCACAACGCATCAACTTGTCAAAGTCAGGGACGCATTCGGGTTTGTCGATCACCGCGTCCATGTCCAGGTGGAACGAGCAGGCGTCCATGCAGGGTTCGGTGACGTTCTGCTCGGCGCAACAGGCTTTCACGTCGCTCACAGAGGCTGGGTTCCTGAAGGTGATCAAAAAGGCGTAAGAGAACGCACGGGAATTATAGATAAGGAGCAACGACTCATTTTACCATTTATACATTTGTTCGAACCGTAAACTGTTTCTCCTTTACCATTTTGTCACAATATCATTGAGGTAGATGATGTTCAAGTTGTATTTTTTTAGTATTCATTTATAACAGAACATTTTGAGAAAGTTTTTCTAAGCTCACAAAGAAACTAAGTTTTCTGTTGTTCAGTTCAGATATTACAAACAAATTTGGAATGAAACTTCAATAAAAAGTCAAATATCAAACACTGCAACATAACCTATGAAATTATTATCTGTGGATTCTCGGATAACAACCATCTAAATCCTTTACGCATAATAGAAAAATTATTCATAAAAAAATGCATAACTAACTTTTATTATATTTTCCCAGATCGCTGTTTATAGAACAAAAACTTTTGAATATAAAAAAATTATTTTGGTACAACGTTGTATTAGAATTCCACAAAAACCAAAATTAGTCTGGCTATAAAAATTATCAATACGATACTAGAAATAAAAATAAACATTTATTTCAACATCAAAAAAGGAAATAAACTTAAAATCATTTATTTACTTAGATCCAAAGTTATATATAATTTGCCCACATATTATATAAGAGTAAGCCCAATGTCATTATTAAAAATAGATTTATATGAGTGGCTATTAGATACTCATATAGGCATGATGGAATTTATAAAAACTCTAGCATGTAAATGTATTTTCCGCACTACTAATCTATGATACCAAATTAAAGGTTTTGCATTTATATTATATAGATTTTTTCTATATGAATCATATTCACACACAAAATTTGTAATATAATCTGAGCAAAACAACATAAAAGTGATCGGTTACAATTGGTGAATTCGTTCACAATGAAGTCAGTATTATGAACCTTTGATATTGACAATTTTTTGGAAAATTCTTTCCTACCTGCAATTCCGACCAAAACGCGTTTTTTGGCTAAATCAAATCTGTGATGGCAGTTTGATTGACAAGAGGCCCAGAAAGTCCCATTTCGCTACTAGAAAAGGGCTTGGCGACACTTAGCATTTTTTGACTTCTTTATCTGAAATCAGCGACCCAAATTAACTCTGTGCATCGGGCTTCATCCGCCTGAGATAACGGGTGGCAAAAATTGGAATTGGCCTTGAGAACCGTCGAAACCCGAAGGAATCCTGTCGAAAAATGTTGACTTCTTGCGTATCTGTAATCTTGAGCAAACCATGTCTTTTGATAGAATCGGATACGTACATCACGAATTTAATGTCAGTTTTTTTTTGCCTAGATCATTGGGGGCCCTGAACGACCCATTTTTCCCTCCAAATCGAATTTCGCGACACGCAAGAATTCCTTGAGTGCCGGTATTTGAAAACAGGGTCCCAAATTACTTCAGTTGCGTTTCTTTCGCTCAGAGTCCCAGGAGATGAACATAGAAATTTTGCATTGAGAATTTCCAAGTAAAAGCTGATGAAATTTTTTTTCAGAAATTGCTATATATAGATAGCGTCCAAAGAAAGGCGTTTTCTGTTTGAAAACAGAATCCCAAATTACCTCAGTAGTGTTTTTCCTGATAGGGGATGAACTTACAGAGTCTGCATTAAGAATTTTCAAGTAAAATCTGACGAATACAATTTTCAACAATTCCTGTATATCTACCGTCCAGCACAAGGCGTTTCCTGTTTGAAAGCAGAGTCCCAAATTACATCAGTTGCGCTTCTTTCGCTCATAGTCCCAGGAGATGAACTTAGAAAGTCTGCATTAAGAATTTTCAAGTAAAAGCTGATGAAGAAAATTTTCATAGATTCCTGTATATCTAGCGACCAGCAAAAGGCGTTTTCTTTTTGAAAACAGAGTACGAAGTTACATCAGTTGCGTTTCTTTCGTTCACAGTCCCAGGGGTTGAACTTAGAAAGTCTGCATTCAGAATTTTCAAGTAAAAGCTGATGAAGAAAATTTTCAGCAAAAGGCGTTTTCTGTTTGAAAACGGAGTCCCAAATTACATCAGTTGCACTGCTTTCGCGCATAGTCCCAGGGGATGAACATAGAAAGTCTTCATTAAGAATTTCCAAGTAAAAACTGATGAAGAAATTTTTCAGAAATTCCTATATATCTAGGTCTAGCAAAAGGCGTTTTTTGTTTTACCGGATGCGTATAACTAACGAACCTGGCGACAGTTTTCCATTGAGATTGACTGTATTCTTCAAAATGTCATTTTTTTACTCCAACATCAGTGTATCAATCTACCACAAAATACAGAGCTTTGTTCATTATGTTGGCATGGAAGATAGAGGTAGATTTTTTATAAAACTTGAGAAATGCGTTTCACGGCGCTTTTTCACGGAAACGTATGGTCGTATTTTAACCATGTGTCAGGGTATCTTACCTTATTCTAACAGAAACAGGTTGCGTGGCACTACCAAACGCATTCTCAGCATGACAATAATAATCTCCAACATCCATATCGTTGATCTTGTTGATGGTCAACCTCATGATGTACTTGTCCTCCTCGTCTCTGATTTGATGCGTGCTAATATCGTATTTTCCACCCTGTATCACCGGCGTTCGATCCTCGTGGTTCCTCCAGAAAATCATCTTTGGCTCTGGCTGTGCTTCCACTTTGCATTCCAAGGTCACGGAGTCTCCCAGTGTCGCCATAGTTATGCCGTTGGCTTGGATATGTGGTCCATCTGTTGAAGAAATTAACTTGCATATTGTAAATTATAATAATATACGTCGTTTTGTTTGGGCGAAGTTTAGCTTAAGCTGTTCCTCCACTTAAACCATACAAACATGAATAAAATATATAAATGACAATAAGACTCATAATATTTGTCTGTTTGTTTCAGATTTATCTAGCATTAATGCTACAATATCCATACTATCCATACTATGCATATTACACAGTATATCACAAAATATATTATATCCTCAGGACTACATATTTTTATACAAAATTTCACTACTATGAATTCTGGTTTTCCATGAAATATTTTTTCAATTTCCCTTTGAACATTTTCAAACCGACACACATCTTGATATCACTACTTAATTTATTAAATTCGTACAATCCCGTTTGAAATACTGACTTGCTCCTTATATTACTACTGTAGTTTTGTAAATGAAAGTCTATACTTCCTCTAGAAGAATAATTGCGGCACTCATTGTTCAATGCAATAAAATTTTATAAGTGATTTGGTAGATGATTTTTTAATTTGAATATGAAAATGGAAACCAAGTAGGCTATACAATTTTTGATGTTCAACCATTGTAGTTCTTTCAGCATAAAATTTATTCTAGTATATTTATTTTTATGTAAGATGATTCTCATAGCTTTTTTTTGTAATATTTGTAATATTGAAAATACATTTGCAGTGAACAAATATAACAAATGAGGAAGAATGATAGTGTTGTACACAGTTTTTGAGAATAAACGGTTAGGCTATGCGAAATTCTATAACATTAATTTAATTTCTTGGATATTTTTAAAATAATATATTCATAGTACCCTTCCAATTTTAATTTACTGTCTACGTATATGCCCAAATATTTGAATGATTCGATTGACACAATTTTTCATGATTAATTGTAAGATTTATCGTATTTTGATTTAAAGATTTTCCTATTAGCATATATTTTGTTTTGTTTGTGTTTAGTTTGAGTTTATTTACATTTAACCAATTTATTACGTTTTTTATATCATTATTTAACAGCTCTATTTCAGATTCAATGTCTTTATTTGATATATCTAGAGATAGAGAAAATATATATATATATATATATACATATATATATATATATACAGGGTGACTTCGAAGTTGAGTCATTTATTTTAACAGTGAGTAGATCTGATCAAAAGAAATGTTTTTTTCCTTTACCATGTTTCTGGTAAAATTAAAGTAACAAAGTTATAGCCCTTTGGAAGTTTGAGTACCGCCGTGTCTCAATAATAATATTATGTGCTCGTGTTTTGCAACAACAGATATAATCCGCCTTATCCGTTCATCGCATCGGAAACAAAAAAGCGAAAGAATTTGGAACGATGTTTTTACAATTATTTTATACAGTTCAGTTATACATACAGTCAGTGTCAGTCGGTAACGCGTGTGAATAGTGTCTGTTGCGTGGCTCAAACGAAATAAAAAATGGCACATGTTTATGCGGATCGGTTTCCCAATCGAGTACAACCAACCCCTGCCTTTGTTAATGTAGTACAACGGGCTCGTGAATCAGGTGACTTAAGACCTCACAGGGGACCTCACGATCAAATACAGGTCCGCACTGAAATACTTGTCGGGAGGATACTTTATAAGACAAGGTAAAATTTTTTTTTATTTTTTTTTTTATTTTTACACACACATTTTGGTTTATCTTCCTTCTACAATCATTATCTGAAAATTAATGACTCAACTTCAAAGTCACCCTATATATATTAATGTATTATCAGCAAATAGTTAAATTTTGCAGTATAAATATCAGGAATATCGTTAATATATAAAATAAATAGTAATGGACCTAAAGAGTTGTAACGATTGGCTCAATAATTTTTTTTAAATCGACTCAGTCCTATTACTTTCCGGACAAACCCTGTATAACTCAGAATTTTGCACTTTTTTGGAACAGGAGTAATTGTAGAACATTTCAATTTTGGGGAAATTCGCCATAGATTAAACATTGATTTACCAACAATAACAACTTCTCTCCAATCATTCCTTCATATCCATTTTTGAAAGATGTTCACTAGGATTTCTATTCGATTTCAATCTTGTAATAGCTTTTGAAAGATGGCTGATATTTAGTGTTTGGAATTGTGTCATAGAAGAATTATAAGTAACTTGCAGTGACATAGATTTGGATCCCCATCTTCGATTGATTCCATATCTCATTTATACTTTCTATAAAATAAGCGTTCATTCGTTCTGCAATCAATATTTTTTGTGTTACCATACCATCATTGAAGCACATTCTTGATAATTCATTCTTCCTAGTGTTTTCCACATCATTTTACTGTTATTTTTATTGCTATCGATTTTGTTTTCACAATATTTTTTCTTTTCGTTCCTAAGATTTGTTAAACACTTGTTTCTTGATTTCTTATATTGTATCCAATCTTCCTCAGTTTGAGTGATCATAAACTTTTTATAGTCATTATCACGCGTCAATTTAGAGTCTACAAATATTTGTGAAAACCAGAGTGTTGGCTTTTTCCTTTGATATACCACTTTCCTAATTTGTGCGTCTCTCATGCAGTTCTCCATACAATCCATAATTTTTTTGAGACTTCCTCTAGTTCTAGTTTCAACGAGAAATGGTTTTACTTACGGCTGATAGTGATTTTTCTTGATGCTTGCATTGGTGTTCCATAGCCATTGTCGGCATAGCAGGATATTTGGTCCATGTCTTTGGTAACGTTGTTTATCACTGTAACCATATGCCTCGTAGTCTCCTGTCTCACCAGTCGTCCGGAGATATACAAGGATATTGTCGGCATCGGTGTTCCCATTGCTATACAGAGGATTGTCATGCTACTGCCTTCTATTACCAGGTTGATAGGATGTACGGTGGGGGGCTGAAAAAGAAAAAAATAGTTATGTGTGAGTTCCATTATGCCATCGTCAAAGGCTTTTGAAATTTTTCATGTTTCTTTTATTAACGATTTGTTTAGACAATGCGTAGCTTACCTCCACAAAAGCAGGATAAGCAGGATCAGTCCAAGCAATCAATGTTTCTGACGGCATGCTATCACCCTTGGATGTCACAGCCACAACGTAGACGATGTATTGAGTGTTCGGACTTAGACCACTGATCATGTAGGATGTCAGCGTTAGGTTCTTTACGTTGAATTTGTCTTCCGTCGTTGACTTGTGGTATAACCTGAAAACGGAAAAATGTAACCTATCATAATACTTTTAAAGAAAATATTATACAGGGTGGCCAATGTATAAATGACTGATTTAAATTGCGCGCCATTTTTGATACCCGAATTTCAGTGGGTGGCAAAATAACGATTTTTACCGACAACTGATAATGAGCGATGAAGCCCACTTCGATGTGAACGGATTTGTTAATAAGCAGGATTGTCGTATCTGAGGATTAGAGAACCTTCGTGTCATCCACCAACGATCACTAAGTCCTTGTCGATTCACAGTTTTTATTTCATTTCACAAATATTCAAGGTACAAGCCAGTCAGTTACATATCGGCCACCCTATATTATAACAACATAGCGAAAATTTGCTCATCACAATAAAGTTAGTCTGCAGAACTGTGATAATAATGGAGAAACGTTCTATTCATCTTCGCATCGAACAAACTTTCATTTGGAATATTTCAAACTTTTCTCACTTATAACTACTTTGTAGTTCCAATAAATATGCATGTTACGGTAGAGTATCTGGGAGATACTGACGGTCTTGATGACAATAGCATTCCATCATCAAAGGAAATAACATCCTCTACGTATGAAAGCGAAAGTCAGCCCAGGAATGTGGTCGTTATACCAAAAAGAACCTACAGGAGCTTATTTTTGTTTGGTGTAAAGCAAAGTGCATTTATTATACCTGTATAGAACTTTGATCACTCTTTAGGTGTACAAAATCATTGATTAACCGTGAAGAGACTCGCGGCCTTCTAGAAAGACGTACCTATTATGCTTATGTGCTGTAGTTGCATAGTTCCACGAACTAATGAGAAAGATAGCTAATGTGAAAAGGATTAATTTGGTCGCATCACATTAACATGTAACAGTGGGGTATTTTTGCTGAATCATTCAGGATCATTAACTTATAACACCACAAAGAAGACTTACTCATATATCTAGGAATACTATTGTCATTTAAATTTATAATATACACGACAATGGTGAATCTTCGAAGTATAGAGTAGCCAATCAAGGAATTTTTTAAGTGATTTTCCGAGTAAAACGTTAGTGGTTTTAGTCATTGTCGCATCGCATCGTTCGTGATGTACTACGTAAGTATAAGCAGGTTAAACTTGAAGCTTTAATGGGTCTGACAAAGAAACTCAGTAGTGAAGTCAGAACAAACTCACTGTTTGCCTGTAAATTGTAGCTGCTCCAACGCTTCCAAAATATGAATTATACCCTATTCGTAGTCTATTTACGCCCCGGTACAACAAAGATGCTGCGCGGCAAAGCGGCAGCCGCCTAAGCTTTGCAATAGCATTGGTCAATCGGCCATAAAACTACGAACAAGTGCAGGAGTCGACAGGATAGAACTCAGGCTCGGGGTCGCCGGCGTCGTTGCTATTTATATTCCGTGTATAGATAGTGTGTGTTTATATGTTAACTGAGAATATTTCTCAAATGCTTCCTTCAGCGATGCTTGCTCTTCAGTGATGTCTCCTGCCCGAAAACGTGACAAGAAGGGACATTTGTATACTAAGTGACATATAAATCCGAACACCCAGTTTAAATGGTTTTATTTTGATAAAATTTTGTATAAGTACTTAATGAAGCATAATAAGTAAATGATAAAAATTTCAAAATGATTGCACTGCTTTAAAGCCCTTTGACCTTTAATAATGTGTGGATGCACCCTGATGTGCTACGCATTCTCCAACGCGCCTAGGCATGCTTCTGATCAGGTGGTCAATGTCCTCCTGTGGTATCTCATTCCAGGCAACCACCGACTCCTCTCGAAGTGCTTCTAGAGTCTGAGGAGGACGTTGCAAATTGAGCAATCTCCTACCCTTCATATCCCACACGTGCTCAATTGGGGATAAGTCGGGAGATCTTGGTGGCCATGGTAACAATGTGACATCATTATGTTGAAAGAAGTCTATTGTGACTCTTGCAACATGTGGTTGGGCATTATCTTGTTGGAAAGTTGGATCTGCCAGGGTGTCAAGATATTGTAAAAGATGGGGTTCTAGAACTTCTTCTGATGAAGATTAAAGGTGACCTGGAACCATAAGCTATAGCACCCCAAACCATAACTCCAACAGTGTGATGAACATGTCTTTCAACAAAAAACTGTGGACTCCTCCTTTCACCACGTCGCCTTCTAACCCTGGCACGACCATCGCGCATGCCTAAACAAAATCGAGACTCGTCACTAAAGACACTGTTCCATTCCTGATCCCAGAGTGACCGTTGTCTGCACCACTCAAGGCGATTACGTCGGTGTTCTCGAGTTAAAGGGAGGACCCAGTGTGGCCGGTATGAAAACAAGCCAAAACTTCTCATTCGTCGGTAAACACTTCGCATGCCAATAGGTCTTCCGTGTTCTGCAAACCATTCATTTGCAATGGACCTGGTAGTGGAGAAACGGTCCCTTAAGGCCAATAATCTTAGGCGGCGATCTTCACGGTCTGTTGTTCTACGGCGGCGTCCCGTACCCCTTGCTCTTTGCGTACGGCCTTCTCGAAGCCATGCCTGACAACACCTAACCACAGCGTCTACACTTCTTTGCACTCTAACTGCAATTGCCCGAAAGGAGTCCAGCTTCCCGAAGTCCCACTATACGGCCCCTATCAAACTCACTAAGTTGACGAAATCGTACAGGTCTCCGTACTCTAGGCATCGTAACCGATCGTAAAGGATGTCAAGAACCAAAATCCGCCAACGTTGATTCTTTACTGCGGCTGAAATATTCATTTTTAGAGCGTTTGTGAATTAAAAAAAAGCAGTATAAAAACCGGAATGTCCAACTGATAAGGCTGACATTTTTTTCACTTGTTATTTACAGTAAGATAAATACATTCTCCAACTTTTATTAAAATAAAACCATTTAAACTGGGTGTTCGGATTTATATATGTCACTTAGTATAATATATTCAGGCAAAAGTTTATAAGAGGGAAATTTTAGAGCATCCTGAAATGAAAATTGACGATATTGAAAGACGTGTAGCGAACAAAACAGTCTTATGTCCTAAAACAATTTTCAACATTGTTAAAGAATATAAAAAAAAAAACAAAAAATTGTCTCCACCACACAAGGGGCTTCATTATACGAAGCTGTTGGATACAGTTAATGACTTTGATCGGAATGCCATCAGATGCAAGGTCCATCAATTTTTTGAAAGGCAAGAACTTCTCACCATAGACAAAGTATTACAGGAGGTCAATAGTGACGAAGGCTTGCCTACTTTCAAAGGACCACATTCTTTAGTTTACCCAAAGAACTTCATTTTGAGTTTAGAAAACGGTCAGAAACAGTATTTTGATGGACAGCCAAGAGATTATTTTATGGAGAAGAAATTATTTAGTAGTAGTAGTATTTATTGGCCATGTTGATACATAAGTATATATGGCAGGTCATTACAAAGACCAAAAAATAAATAAGCAAATAAATAAACAAATAAAACATCACAGCAAAAACCTTATTGATAGAAAGTAGCTTTAACATGCCAAGACATGCACAAATATTAGGTAACTGATATTTAATTATATTATTTGTACTTGTGTTCTAAAAATTCACCAATCGTATAAAACCCTTCACTCGATAAAAACGATTTCATTTCATATTTAAAATGTTTGTATGTTCTTATATTTTAAGATGTTGAGGCAGCTTATTATAAAATATTACACAGTTGTAATGAGGTGAGCGCTTGAAGCGACTGGTGTTGTGTTTGAGGACAGTTAATGTAGTACTATTTCTGGTATTATATGTGTGGTACTGCCCTAGACTCTCGAACTGGTACATGTTTTTCCAAACGTATAAAATACACTTAAAAATGGAGACACAAGGTACAGTTAAAATTTTCTTAGATTTATATGTGGTTCTACATGTATTTCTAGGCGGAATATTGAAAAGTAGGCGTATTAGTCGTTTTTGTCCTACAAATACTCTGTCTTTGTCAACACTGTTGCCCCATGCCATGATATTATAGCTTACGTGTGAGTATGCTAATGCATAATATACCGTCATTAGTCCTTTATCGTCTAAGGTGTCTTTTGGTTGTAATAAGGCGAAGTATGCCTTATTAAGTTTTTGGCACACAGTTTCAATATGGTCAGAAAAAGATAGCTATGAGTCAAAGTAAGTACCCAAGAGCTTTGCGCAGTTCAAAGCCTTAGTACCAGGAAGTATAGAAAAGTCGTTAGGTAGATGTTTTTGAATGGCGTAGTTCATTATGACGGTTTTGCCTTCATTTAGTATCAGCCTATTACGTTGACACCAGTCACTAAATTCATCAACAACATGGGCCACTTTATGTTGAAGCTCTTGAGGATTCGTTATCGTCGTATCGTCAGCGAACATAGTTACCCTCTTGCGTGTCATATAAAGCGGCAGATCATTTACCTATAGAAGAAAGATTAGCGGTCCTAGGACAGAACCCTGTGGTACCCATAAACCAAGATCCGTTGTATTCGATCTAACTGTTCCGATTTTAACTTGGAATTTACGTGCACTCATGTAGGATATAATCCATTTCAGGGGTGTACCACGAATACCTAGTGTCTCTAATTTCTCTTGCAGGTAGTCTTTCGGGATGGTATCGAATGCTTTTGACAAATCAAAGTATAGTGATGCTACATATTCACCTTTATGTAGATGTGAATAAATGTACTCCTAATAGTAGCAAGTTGCTGTTTTTGTAGATGTTGTGAGTGACGGCAAACCATTGGAAAAAATGCATCCGTCACGTTCAAGAGACAATCAAAACAAAGATGTGGGATCTGGACAATATGATCGATATTCAAATTGAACCTGTAATAATTAATATTAACCAGTCGGACGATGATTTAAGTACTTCCAGCCAATAAAGGATTGTGAAAAGTATGTGCACCTCTTTCTATAAAAATAATCATTTATTTTGTTAGATTATTCCAAGACCATTGAGGAAAATACGGACCTGTACAATCTCGCTTTTGGGCATATTGTGTTTTGTCTGGGCGTATATGGACTACGAATGGGGTATAATTCATTGTTTTAAACATCCCAAAATAAGAGTACAAGAAATATATGCGTGAGGCGTTTCGCCTTTTTCTGATAATGTTCAGACGATGTGAAAAAAAAACGCGTTCGATGTTTGTCCTATATTCCGTATCTACGTGCATAAAAATGTGGACATGAGAACTAGGAAACCGTACCGCTTACGGCTGATCTAATTTGTTTTCTTTGACCTTCAGAAGCTATAGCAATTTTCTTAGTCTGTGCGAAATTAATATGTTCTTGTATTGTCGAGGAACGTACCTATAAGTGATAATCTCAGATGGGTGACTGAATTCAGGAGGCTGCCAGGTAATAGTGACCCATGTAGCACTATGACTTGCAACAGCTAACGAGTGTGGAGGTGACGTTACCCCATTTACCCATTTGCTCTTATCTGAAAAAATAAATGGTTATTCTTCTGGTCATCTTGATAAGGGCTGAATATAAGAGATCCGATTCCATACTATTATAAAATAAATGGTGCTCTTACACATGTATAGTCGACTTTAAAATGCGACAAACGACAAAGAAGAATATTTATTATGAATTTGGCTTCTAATGCTAGCTTACTATTTATGAAGTATGCAAATACAAAATCGGATTCTATTATTTTGACTGTAAGCAAAACAAAGCTTTTCGACTTTAAAACATTCCAAATAAATGTTTCGGTAGTCCATGCATCAACATCTTATTTTTGTCTTATGCACAATTATACACGCTCCAAAATAAAATTACAGGGATATTCATTGCATTTTGACTCTCTGGTTATTGATGAGATCCAGAAAGTCGCAGTCAAGCACAACACCACAACTTTCTACTGCCTAACCATGGGCTTGATTCTAAGTGAGCTTCCACCGTTGAAATTGATTTCGATGGCGCCTTGTGACGGTATACTATGATAATTTTTAGACTGCCGTGATAATTTGAATATAGAATATCAATATAATCAGATGTCAAAATCATCATAGCGAATAAAGTATATCGTCACAAGGCGCATTCGAAATCAATTTCAACGGTTGAAGCTTATTCAGAATCAAGCCCGATTAAAGACAACCAAGCCATATAAATTTTTGTAAGTGTGTAACTAGCGGAAAAACTAATAGTTGATTAAATAACAAAATAAAAAGGTGATATTTATTGGCTCAGACTACTCATTAATGGAATACGCTTCGTCTACATATTTTGTCTAAAAGTGTGCTTAATGAATGTTTTAATATTATTGGATCGAGAATATTAATCCTGATAAATTACTGTTTAAAACGAGGCGAATTTCCAACAAAGCTGAAGTGTTGTACCATAACTCCAGTTGTATGCCAATATGCGGCCAATAAATGTTCTGCCAGATGTTGAAAATGTCTTTGCAGAAATAATTTATGAATAGATATCAAACGGTAACACAAATGGCTTTAGAGGACTAGAGGAGATGTATGGACAATAGGAAACATACAGTAACAGTGTTCTTGGACTTCAAAAGTGCGTTTGAGACTATTGATAGGGATAAATTACACGCATTACATCTTGCCAATCCGTACATTAAATGCATATCTGAATATTCATCAAACGTATACCCCATGGTGTTTAAAAACTTATTGTCAACTTAAAATTATTCATGAAGTTTAAAGCTATATTATGATAAACATTAGAAACCGTAGCAACGCTACTCAGATATTATCCAAAGCAACTTGATTATTATGTTATAAAAATGTATTATCATGGTACAAATAATGCATTGTAACTTTTAAAAACAAATATCTCGAAAACTATTAGTTTTAGACACTGCTAACAAATACACCCTTTTTGTTGTGGAAATGCGAAAAAATAAAATTTTTCGGTCAGTTATAGTATACAGGGTAGCACAAAAAAGTTATGATAAGTTATTTACCGAACTAGTACTGTAAGTGGCGACTTCTAGAAGTTTGGCCATAGAAAATAACGGATTCTTGTTTCTCATACTAGTAAACCTCCCTATACCGAGTTTTATGCCAAAATCTGAAATACTTCTCAAGCAATAAGGAAAAATAAAAAATAAAATTGTAAGTCTGGCAGGGTATCTCGCAAACTATCAACTTTTAGACTAAGGTATGTTTAGATCAATTCACATATTTTGGTCTGTAGTATCTCCAGTTTCGAGATTTCGCAACCTTTCGGAGTCACTCTATATATTGATTGTAAACTAAAGTTTGAGAATCACCATGAATACATTATTTAAAAAATTGTCAAAAAGAAACAAATTACTTTTATAGTGCTTCTCATAGTCTTGGTACATATTCCAAGAAAATAGTTTATAATACAGTTATTCTACAGCATTTACTATACTGTTCATTTAGAACACTACATAGAATTGCATAATCATTACCACGTCTAAATAATTATAGATTTTCATTTACAAAATCAATATCTCAGAAAGGATTACTTGAATTTAATAAACTAAATATTGATATAAAGACTTTAATTTGAAGATGTTTAAAAGAAAATTAAAGGAACGGACAGTGACAATTCTTACAGATGCAAATTTTATTTTTTTCTAAATATCTGTATCTTATCTAATTGTTTAGTTTTTTAAAAGAATGTAATTGTAGCAATCATACTAAATGAATATCAAACAAAGAAACTAACCTGAGTTGACTAGATTTATTTCAAGTATTGACGAAGGTAGAGAAGTGCCGTTTTCATTGCGCGCCACCACGAATATGTGGTAGAGTTGATTCTCTTGCAGCCCCGTGATTGTCATTGTTGTACTGGTGCTATTAAGTTGCTGCAATAAATAGAAATGTTAGATATAAAATCAGCGTTTATATAATAAAATTGAAAATACGGTCTACTTTTGTTGTCGGTATTCTACCGATCAGTGCCTTACTGGCTTGAATCCATGAAGAATACGAATTTACTAAATGGCAATAAAAGAACCACCTGTCGAAACGCAACAACGATTCAAATAACAACATGCTTATTTTACTGAAAACGCTTCATCAAACGTGGCTGCGTATTCTAGGTACAAAGCTCGTCCATTTCAAACAACGCGTTCAATTACAAAGATAAGTTTGTAGGCTTTGCCCGTAATCACTTGTTTAGAAGTTTTCTTGTTTCCTATAAAACCATTGACTCTCTCCATTAATTGAAATAACGACTTGCAAACCTGAAATTCCATTCAATAATAAAGTAAAGGTGTGAAGAGTTGGTAAGACATTAATTTGTCAACGGAAAAGTTATCTCATACAAATTTCAAGCTGGATTTGGGGAGAAACACTCAACTGAAGCAGCAATACCGACGGTTTTAGAGGACTGACGGAGATGTACGGACAATAGGAAACATACCGTAACAGTGTTTTTTTACTTCAAAACGGCGTTTGAAACTATTGACAGGGATAAGTTTCTTACAAAATTGCTTCACAGAAACACAAAATTGGCTCTACACCATTCAGCTCAAAAAATATTTTTTTTGGTGTACCGCAAGGTAGTAAACTGGGTCCACTAATCTCTATTTTATACGTTAATGATATTTTAGATTATTGGAAAATCAGATTTTTGCGGATGATAATACATTAAGATACATATCAGATGAAAATATAGACGCTTCAAAGGTGCTAAATTCTGACTTGACAAAACAAATCGGTTAAGTGTAAATCAACTAAAATTGAATGCTCCTAAAACAAAATGTATGCTAAATGCTGCTTAAATGAAAAGACTATCACACTTTATATAAATGGCGAAATAATTGAAAAAGTTGAATCAATTAAATATTTGGGCATATAGTAAACTGAAGTTTGAGGATCACTACGAATTCGTTATTTAAAAAACTGCAAAAAAAAAACAAATTACTATAGGGCTTCTCATAGTCTGAGTACATATTCAAAAAAAGTTAATACAATAATTATTCTACCGCATTTACTATATTGTTCAACTATCTTGTTCACTGCCAATGGAGATATATTCTCAAAATTAGATGACCCACAAAATAAAGATATGAGAATAATATTGAATACAAATAAGTACACCAAAATAAAATCCATTTTATAAGAATTGCAGTAAATGAATATAAAAATAACATGTATGGTTATTTACTTGTTTAAAATAAAACATCATGTTTTGCCACAATATTTTATTACGTAGAACTCAATAGTTGTTGCCACAATTATTATAGAAGAGGAAATATAGATTTCCATTTACAAAACTGCAATGCTAATACAACTAGCAAATCAATATTCCAGTAGGGATTACTTGAATTAAATAACAACATAAAGTCTACTCGAAATTTAAAAATGCTTAAAAGAAAATTAAAGGAACATTTCATGGACAGTAAAAATTCTTACAGATGCACGTTTTGTAGTTCTGAATATTTGTATTTCATGTAATTGTAATTTTTTAAAAGGATGTAACTGTATCAATCATGCTAAACAAATCAACAAATACTCACGTTATCTAACCTCAGCAGCGTTTCATGCATGGACGTATTATCCACTTTCTGATAGTGCACCACATAATCCCTGACGCTAGTCGAGTTCTCCGGTGGGTTCCACTCCAACAAAATGCTATGTTCGTCCACCACGACTGCGTGTAATCCCGATACGGGTCCTGGAAGGAATCCGGTGCCTTCCTCGAAGCACTGAGCGATGTTTCCGATGTAAGAGACACAAGTTGTAGCAGTGGCGATCAGGGAGTCGACGATGACGCCGTTGCAAAGGGAGAGACATCCTGAAGGGACTCCACGGCGATTGCAGCATGACAGGTGGTTTCTGCCTCCTGCACCACACCTGCAAAGTAAGGATACTTTGAGTACAGCAAGGGTAAGTACACACTGATGAATGCTTAAGCTATGACATTCTTATTTCCCTCACCCTCAGTTACTGAGTCTTATTTAAAGAGTCATTTCAGTGGAAGGTAGTTCGTTAATCAAATTTGAAACCAATTTTCAATGATTTGAAATTGTCGACCGAACATTTATCAATTAATGGATTAATGAACGAATTAAAAAATTAGGGGCATAACGGCCACCATGATTCAGCGCACATGCCACATAACTCTCGTCGGCTGCCACTCGACTACTTGGTTTCTGTATCAGAAACTGGAAGGGTTTCTCCAATGTTGATACATTAATAACTTTATTTTTTACTCTTGTCAGGAGCAAGTTGGAGTATGCAACTCTGATCTGGTCTCCTATATACCAAAATTCTGTCGTGATCCTTGAGGCCATTCAACGTAAAGCTGTAAAGTATTTTCACCTTAAATGCACAGGTTCTTATCCAGAAAGAGGTTGTGACCATAGTGCCCTATTAGAGTCTTTCAATTTGGATTCACTGTCAACAAGACGAAACATATTTGCTTTGTCGTTTTTGTATGGCCTCATTCACAACAAAATTGACTGTCAAAATTTACTTGAAAAAATATGTTTCCGCGTTCCAAGGCTAGGGAGTCGACAACAAATGGCATTCTATTGTCAAGCTGGCCGTACAAATGTTATGACAAAATCGCCAATTAATTTCATGTGCTGCGTCATGAACAGTGTTACTGAATCGTGTGATATTTACAGTGACAGTTGTGCAACGATTATTAACTGTTATAGATCATCCAATCTTATTTAGAATGTGTGATACTATAGATTTAAGTCCAAGAACCATGTCTCTTTAATTGCTATTTTTTCAGCGTTTCCTGTAATTGGGTTTCACCTGTTGGAAATAAATAAATAAATAAATAAATAAATAAATAAATAACGGGCCCTTACGCACCACTACATATTCTAAGCCTCAAGCTCCGCCCTTCTAGTAAGGTATAGCCATGACTCCCCACTCCTTAAGATTCTGGAGACCCAAAGTGTTGGATCTCAGTATAGTTTGTCTGTAGTAGCTCAGAGTCTCACAGCGACACAGAACATGCGCCGAGGACTCTTCCGCCACCTTGCAGCACTCAGATATGCAGGTGACGCATCATCGTGTTATGGTCAGTCAGCAGTCCTTAGGTCGGCTCTATCCAAAGATAAGCAAAAGCGTCTATCCATAACACTGGACCCTACGATGAGCTCCCTTCTCTGACGGAGATGTCTATAGATGCTTCTTTATTTCAAACTCTTCTCCTGACTCTTTGCGTGGGCACCTCTTGGGCTGGCCTAGGACCAACAAGCTTGCCTGCTGATCCTGCTTGTACGAGAGCATCCGCCATAACATTACACTTTACTGTCCAGAGCCTCCCTGCCTTGCAATACAAGGTTCGAATTAATCTTGTAGGCACTTCTTCAGTTTGTTATCAAATAATCTGTGCAATTGAGCCGCATTACGAGAAAAGGATACTGAAGTTATTTGTCGAAGCATGCTCATCTGTAGAAAGAGATGAGGCGGATTTGGAGAATATTATTTATGAAAGGTAACCTTCATACAGCTCGTCAAGTGTAGGAAGAGATGCGAATTTTTGAATGTCACGTCTTCTAGGTGCGCAGTGGCTAGCGGCTCAATCGCCTGACGAAGCAGTAGTCTCTTGTCATGTCTAGACTAGTTAGCGTACATTCAGGAGAAAAATTGTCAGGCAGTGAGATAACTTTATTACTTATTATCTGTGAATTGTATGTATTGTTCGAATACGAATTTTACCCTATTGATTGTTGCTATTTATTCCTTGGTGTGCTAAGAGGTTTACTCGTTTATAATGGATTTTAAATCCAAATTACAACGTAAAGTTTTATCAGGACAAGCTATGGAGGTTGTAGCAAATTTTATATTCTTTATACAATAAGAAGCAGAATGAAATAAACCTCTTAAAGATTTGGAGAAAGTTCAGGAGCGTGCAGCGATGGCCACGGGAGTTAGTCTATCGGCTATTAGGAGGATTTCTCGCGAAATGAAATCTCTTGAAGAAGGTGCTTAGGCATCTCTTTCGACACCAAACAAAAAAGGCGAAGAGTCACTCCGAAATCTGATTTCGACGACTTTGATAGAGGACGGCTTCGTTGATCTATAATGAATTTTTACATAACGGAAAAGAAGGTTCCAACTTTGCGGCGCATACACAGGAAATTTATTCAAGAACACGAATTACACTAGCCCCACGGTACCCCATGGGTGTTTAGGCCTTAGGCATTCGTGGTAGTTGGAGTATAAAAAAAATCACATGAAACTTTAAGGAAAGTGATAAGGACAATGTGATTTCGTTGGAGGATGGCAATAACTAATAGAAGACTTCTTATGGAGAAACGAGAGATTCAGCATCTCAGGTGAAATTTTCTGAGAAGGATGAAAGAATATAGAGAAAAAAATCGTCCTATAATTTGTATGGACGAAACATTCATCCAACACATGAAAAGACTTGGAGCGATAATACCAATTAGGGCCTTACAGGCCAGTTTCAAAAGGACAAAGATTTATTATTGTGCATGCTGGTAGTGAAAATGGTTTCGTGGAAAATGCATATCTGAAATTCAAATCCAATAGTAAGTCGGGTGATTATACGTATAATAGTGAGATCAACTATAGTAACTGTAAAAAATGGCTTCAGGATAAACTGATTTCCAACCTACCACCAAATAGTGTTTAGGTTATAGACAACGCTCCGTACCGTAATGTTCAGATGACAAATGTCCTACTATGTTCTCTAAGAAGGATCATATGAAAGAATGGCCAAGGCAAAAAACATACATTTCACTGACGACATGTTGAAAATTGATTTGTATAGCCTTATCAAAATGCATAAGCCGGCATATATAACTTATGAAACCGACAGGATGATGGTTGAAAAAGGTCGTTCTGTTTTGAGATTACCACCATATTACCCCGACTTGAACCCCATTGAGTTGGTATTGGCATCTTTGAAACAATATTTGGCTGAGAGAAATGTAAATTTTAATCTCAAGACTGTCGACAAATTTTGCGACGAGTTTTTCTCGTCTTATCTCACAGAGGAATGGAAAAAGCGATATTGGTAAGCCAAAGCTTTTGAGAAGCAGTATATGGAAATGGAACCAGTACTCGACTTAGTTGTAGATCAAATAATAATAAACCTAGACGAAGATAGCGATAGCAAAACCGAAGATTTAAGTAGCTCAGATTCCTATTCCGAACTTTAAAGATTTGATCATCTGTGAAACCATAAATTTTCAAAATATTGCCAACTGTATCTATGTTAGTTTTCTGACCTTGCTTACTTTATTAATTGAAATTATTAACTGTTAAAAATAGAATGAGTACCAATCAATTTCAGTCTTATAGGTACATAGCGTGCAGTACTTTTCTTATGGAATAAATTGTTTTGGTTTCCTTTTGACACATGCCAACAGTTTCGATTAAAAAAAAACAGGCTTCTCATAATACGGATTCCATTACTGAAATTATTTTATTAATTTAGGACGCAGACTGTACCACCCGAGATCGAATGACACGTATTGTACGTGCCATCTCTTTTGCTCCGAATGCGTTCTCCCTCTCTCGTGTGCGCAATCCCAGCAAATCCTCATATCTCTTCCTACACTTAACGAGCTGTACTTTAACATACTGATAACATAAACAAGCATGGTTTTTTTCAATATTTGGCTATTTGGCTGTATGATCTTTAAGATCTTGCTTTTCTAGGAGCCGCCTAAAATTTCGGTTTTCCTAGCTACAATATTGTTCCAGAAGTCATGAGGCCTGCTCAAGTTGGTACAGTTTCTCTGCCTTCAAGTGCCTAACGATATCAGTTCTAGTCTGGAACCCATGAAAAACTATGACTTCTTGAAGCTGAACTATTTTGATTGGCCTTTGGTAATCCTACATCAACTACGATTGAAGATTGTAATTACCTTAATATTTTATGGAACTCGGCCCCGCAAACTCCAGCGAGTAGCTTGATGTCGGACATTTTGGCATTGTAAGAGCATAGAGGCAGACACACACTCTTCAGTTGTGCCTCTACACAACACCCTGTAACGTTGTAGACTGCAGTGTCGGCTTCTTCAATCTTTTCTTCGATCAACTGTAAATGAAAAAGCCATAATAAGCAAAAAGTGGTTCAGCTCTGGTTCAATTATGTAATGTTGCTTTCTAGGGTTTAGGGCCCGTTGTTTGAGTCCTTGGATGCTGTGGAGTACGTGGTAGAGAAAAAGTCGAGGATTTGGCCAGGATAACGGTGAGAGTCCTCAACATTGGCTGAGGTCTGATATAGGGACCAGTTGAGTGATAAATAGCAATCCACATCTTTCAATACAGCTACTGGAGTTTGACAAAAATGATTCGGAGGGAGGAAAATCTATAGAAGGACTTGAGATTTTTCAACCTGTTCTTGCCGATGATATCTCTCTAATCGTCTCCAATGAAACAGAAATGGTAGAACTGCTAAGTGATAAAAAGAGAAGAAGGTGCAGCCTGGAGATACCCAGAGCTAAAACTAAAATCATGGTGGTAGATAAATTTAAGTGCTTCATTTCACTGGTGCGTTGGATCCCTTCAAGGTTCTAAATAAATAGACCTCGCTGGGATCTATCGTTAGTAATGATGGCTGCTGCAAATCAGAAATTGAGTGCAGAATAAATATGGTAAACATGAAACAGGATGATTGACTCTAATATGGAGGGATTTCTCAATAACCAACATGGCCAAGATAAAACTATTGCGAGTGCTAATGTTTTTCATATTTCTGTACAGTGCTGAAACCTGAGTACTCCGAAAATCTGAAAGAAACATAAGCTGGAGGCAGATGCTTCATGGTCCATATTCAGTGCACAGAATGAGTGCATCTACTATCGATGGATAAAGAATAAAACCGAGATTATATACCATATGCTTGATTTGATGTGAGCTTTAGAATTCATGGTACACGTAGTTAGAAGAGAAAACCATTACTTGGAAAGGTTAATCATATCCTGAGATGCTTAGGGAAAAAGAAGTCGTGGAAGATCGCTAGTGAGGTGGTCGGACCAGATTCAAGGGGAATTGAACAAAACCTCTCATGGTGACCTGAGAAGTCCTGAAGATAGAAAGAGTACGGGGAAAGATCGAGAGACAATGGGATCTGACAAACGTAGCTGACAAACGAAGTCAAGAATAGGTTTGAATATTATCTGATGCCTGTCAACATTTCCCGTTGATTTTCTCAAATTTAGTAACCTCGCATATAAATTCCTGTGACACTAATGGAGTTAGATGCAAACAAACTGAGCGCCATATCTGAGAATCCGTCCGAGAAGCTGGTGAAAATTGAAGATGGCGAAAATGTGCAAGTCAAACCTCCTCCAAAGAATGAACCAAAAGATTCTCAAAAACCCCACGCGAATGGTAAAAATAGTGAAAAGAATTGTGTGAATACAGTTACAGTAACAGAGGATGTCTACGGAAAATACTGGGATCCTAAAGGGACGTTCCATAATATCAAACGATATACGTGGAAGAATAAGAATAAAATTCAAGTACAAGTGATCAACTATGGGGCCAGGATAACATCAATGAAGCTTCCAGACAGAAATGGGGATGTTGAAGATATTGTCTTAGGTACTATTATTGGCAAGTAACAGGTCAGCATTCCAACCTGACGTATGCGTTTTGTGGACCAGTAATTCAGCAGCTAAACCAGGTAAGAGCATGCACAATTTGGGAGATAAGAGGATGCATTTTTCAGGATTTGATGATCTGGGAGGTTACATCTACAACAGAAAATATTACATAGGGGCCACTATAGGTCGAATGTCAGGTATTGTGAAAAATAGTACCTTTCAGTTGAACAATAAGCAGTACTGGCTAACTCCAAATTATTTGGAACGGCACCATATAAATGGAGGAGCCACAGGGTTAGATCAGGTAAGTACCAGTATGCTTAAGTACCCACCTATTTTTATACCGAAGTGAACATGACCCCAATTATATTGTTTTCTAGGTGGTTTGGAATACGTATGTAGATGGCCCAAAAGTCATAATGACCCATATAAGTCCTCACCTCACTGAAGGTTACCCAGGAGACCTCTTCATCAAGATTATCTTCCAACTCTCAGAAAGAAACGAATTCAAAATCAACATGGAGGCAATGTGCACGGAACCTACGATAATAAATCTGTCAAACTTAACCTATTTCAATTTGGCTGGTCACCATAGGGGTGCAGATGAGATCTATAGACACGTGGTTTCGTTGAATTGTAACTGTTATACCCCACAAGTTAGTGGGTTTCCTACAGGAGATATTCAGAACGTTGTTTACAGCCCGTACGATTTTCAGATACCTATTTTGCTTGGGAAGTTGATAGGCATCGTACCAAAAGATGGTAAGGTTCAAGGATTCTAAGTGTACGGGGGAGGCTCTTACCTCTATGTTAGAAAAATGTTTTTGTGGGAGGATATATAAGAGGGGAGGCAATTTGTTTCTGAGAAACAGCGGCCCCAACCATGGTAAAGTCTATAATATATTATTGTTGTTGATAGTAGTAGACCCTGTGGTAGAACCAAGCCATTGGAATTATCATCAAAACCTTATAGATAGCTGATCCACAGTATTATTTACTTCAGGTTATAACCAGAATCTTTGCGTAAATAGAGGAGCCGATCAAGATGAATGTTTTGTCGGTAGAGTTTTTCATCCACCAAGTGGAAGGCTGTTAGAAATCTACAGTAATCAGTGTGGCGTTAATTTCAGTACAGCCAATGAGTTTGGATATGGTAGGCTCCTGTCTATACAGGATATAATGCCTCAGAATTATGGCCACGATGATGAATTTATGAATAAAGATCCATTGCTGAAGTAAGTTGACGAATTTTGCGATATTGGCCATCGAGATTACCGATGCGCATCTAGTGGAAATACCTAATCAGGGCAAGACCTTTGGTTATGAAGGTGGAAGCACTGGAAGGTCCACTAATACCGTCTTGGAACAAACAATGTTATCAGGATGATTCAGAAAATCGTGGCAATATTTTTGCTGCATAAAATAAATCACAAATAACACGAAACATTCATATAAAGATAGGTCCTATAATGCCCCGTTACTAAGACTCAGTGTGCTGAAATTGTAATTCTAATATCCAAATAAAATAACTTATGCATATCTGCGTTGTGGATTTAGCCCACTCAAAATTGTGTACATGTTATAGTACTGACATCAAAGCCTGTACATGCATGTTTTGCCTGAGACCACACCACTGGCGCATAAATTTTGACAGTTTGACCCCTAGACAAGGAGAGAGTAAATTATTTTATATTCCGCTGACTTTTAATAAAAATCTATCGCATTTTTGAATAAAGTACTCAATGTAACATGAATCGCGCCTTTTAATAAATTTTTGTTAGACTACTTTTGGATATGAGGTAAAATCGTCATAAAAAAACTTCCACCCATTCTACTTTGAAAATAAGCCGACGTTAGTGTTATGTAATATATACAGTAATGGACAAAAGTATATAGACAAATATGAATATTTACCTATACATATACCTTTAGAAAATGAATTCATACTTCATTGCTCCATAAACAAATGCGTTATTAGTATAAAAACTAAATTCCTTGTTTTTACATTATCTGCAATGAACACAATATAAAGCTGAATATAAGAATTTTTTTATGAGGGACAAAAATATGTAGACAAATTCTTTTCTACATTAATTTAGTACAGTTTCGTGTCAGAGTAGGATTAGCTTGTGTTCATCAAGTATTGTGGAATAAGTTGAGTGATTTTAAGACCATGCCGTATTAGAGAAATTTCTTTCGATGTGAAAACTAAGATCATTGAGTTATACAAAGATAGTCAACGTCAAGTCGACATTGCCAAAAATTTGAAGCTGAAGCGTAAAGCAGTTTGGGCAATATTGAACAAATATAAACATAAAGGTATCTTGGAAGCCTCTAAGAGAAGTGGTCGGCCTAGAAAGCTAAATGCGAAATCGAGACAAAAGGAATTGTCGGTGTTACTACGAAAACTATAAGTAGAAGATTAAATGATTTGAAGTTATTTGCACGTCGCCCGAGTAAGAAGCCGCTAATCTCGAGGAAAAACAGTAAGGACCGATTACAATTTGCACGGTTGCATCTTGATTGGAGCATCTGTGATTGGAAGATGGTATGTTTCAGTGACGAATTCAAGTTCAATATGTTTGGATCAGATGGTGTTCATTACGTTAGACGTCCTAGTGGACAAAGATTGAACCCCAAGTACACTTTGTCCACTGTCAAACATGGAGGCGGGTCTGTTATGGTTTGGGGGTGCTTTTCGGGGTTTGGGATGGGACCTTTACATATGTATAATAGATGGCATTATGGATGTTTGTATACTCAGACATACTAAAGCATGTCATGTTATCCTTTATCGAAGACAATATGCCCTTAAGATCAATCTTCCAGCAAAATAATGACCCGAAGCACACTTCAATTCTCGAAAAGAAATTCTTTCTGGATGAAAAAATACCAGTTCTCAAACGGCCTTCACAGTTTCCCGAAATAAACTCCATTGATCTATGGGAATACTTAGATAAGCATATACGAGATAAAAATTATTCAAACAAGGATGAACTTTTAGCCGTTTTAGAGCAAAAGTGGAGACAGATTGATGAATCTTATATCAGGAAACTTCTACAATCTATGCCGTTGCCAGGCGGTGATTGATAATAATGGTTATGCTACAAAATATTAACACAAACATGGTTGGTTTTCTGTAATTCATTGAACTTTGCTTCTTTTTTCTATAATTGTTTTGCTTTATCTATATATTTTTATCCTTCATAGTTCCAGTTTTTTCAATTAATTTTTTATTGAAGGGAGTCTAATGAATGTATTAATGTTCAAGTGAGTATTATGCTATAACGAATTATGTATACAAGTTGGTGTATTAATAAAACAAGTTAAAAAAGAAATACACAATATTAATTTGTCTATATACTTTTGTCCATTACTGTATATATATATATATATATATATATATATATATATATAACAAAAAAATAGGAAAGTAATGGGCAAAATCCGCAAAAAGGAGGAAAGTGGATTCGAGCAGAAAATAGGATAGGTAACCCGAGCGATACGTATTTCTGCTGGTTGGCTTCATCAGGCCCGAAATGAATGCACATATGCAACTACAAAAGTAGATACACATGCTCATACATCCGGATACGGGTGTAACCTGAGGAAATAAAGATGGATGGGAAAAAATCACACACGAAGTCCACAACAAGAGCCAACCTACACATTGTAGTGTAAAATAGCTAGAAGACCTCGAATTTTCAAGGCGACATCTAACCACAACCACGCGGCCGGTTATAGCCACTTGCTGTGGTACTTCAAGCCCAAAGGATCTACAAAGAGAAAATAATCATGCGGAGAAATGTATATAACAAAAAAATAGGAAAGTAATGGACAAAATCCGCAAAAAGGAGGAAAGTGGATTCGAGCAGAAAATAGGATAGGTAACCCGAGCGATACGTATTTCTGCTGGTTGGCTTCATCAGGCCCGAAATGAATGCACATATGTATCCGGATGTATGAGCATGTGTATCTACCTTTGTAGTTGCATATGTGCATTCATTTCGGGCCTGATGAAGCCAACCAGCAGAAATACGTATCGCTCGGGTTACCTATCCTATTTTCTGCTCGAATCCACTTTCCTCCTTTTTGCGGATTTTGCCCATTACTTTCCTATTTTTTGTTATATACATTTCTCCGCATGATTATTTTCTCTCTCTCTATATATATATATATATACAGGGTGTTCCATAATTATTGCGACAAAATGATAGGGGTTGTAGAGGGCATCAAAATGAACAATTTTGCCTTATAAACCCCTGTTCGGAAATATGCCGTTTGGGATGCAGCCAAAAAAAAAGATCAGTTTCTTGAAACAGCTTAGCTACAGTAATTGCTCAAAGTGTCCTCCACCTTGCTCAATACACAGCTGTGCACGATTGTTCAATGATCGGCGAACTCTGTGGCATACCCCCGGTTTGTCCTGAACATGTGCGGACGCGGCCATCACTCTTCCCAGTAGATCTTGTTGGTTGGGAACAGTAGTTTCGTACACTAAAGCTTTCAGATGGCCCCAGAGAAAATAATCCAGTGGGGTCAGGTCGGGTGACCGCGCAGGCCAAGGCACAGGGCCACCTCGGCCGATCCACCTATTTGTCGTCCAAATACTGCCGCACTTGTAAAGAAAAGTGGGCTGGAGCGCCATCGTGTTGAAACCACGTGTTGGCTCTTATGTTCAGTGGCACATTTTCTAATAGTCCCGGTAGCACATGCTGTAAGAATCGACCATAAGCATGCCCATCCAAACGTGGTGGAAGCAAATGTGGCCCGATGATATGCTCGTCCACAATGCCGCACCAGATGTTAATTGAAAACTATGTTGGTCTCTATGGATGGCTATGGCATGAGGGTTTTCTTCATCCCAAATGTGACTGTTACGGCTATTAAAATAACCTTCCTTTGTGAAACAGGACTCGTCAGTGAACAAAACGTAGCGACCAAAGTTTGGTTGCCTCAACTCCTGCTGCAGCCACCAACGACAAAAACGTCGACGCGGCAGATAGTTTTCTGGACCCATGGCTTGGACTTTTAAAAGGTGATATGGGTGTAGTTGCTGGTCATGGAGAACCCGCCAAGCAGTAGTTTGAGACGCTCCCATTTCATGTGCAATAGCACGCACGCTTGTACGCGGATTGGCCTCTAGCTTGACGCACCACTCAGATAAATTAAATGAATCGGTGTGGAGAATTTACGATAACAAAAATGTAAACACAGCAGGCTTTTTTTTACAAATCGGCGAGACCATGAAATGTGCTAGACGAACATTTTGCAGCTGTTGAATTTTTTGTTTCTCGTAAGGTAAAATTAGCGGTAGTGCTCAAACGGCATATTTACGAACAGGGGTTTATAAGGCAAAATTGCATATTTTTATGCCCTCTACAACCCCTATCATTTTGTCGCAATAATTATGGAACATCCTGTATATAATATTATGTTATGTCTATGACCTATTGTTGCTAAATAGCCACTATCCCTGAACATACATTGCGGATCTTTTTAGTCTGATGGAAAAGATGCACGAAAAATTAATCGACAATTTGAAAGAGGACGAAAAAACGGGTTTCGAAGAAATCCGAAGTCTCATAATGAAATTCAAACCGACCGGAGCACTACCAGCAGTACCGGATAACACAGATGCCTCAGAATCTGAAGCTGCTGGATCTCCACAAGCGCAAAGTGGTGCTGAATATGTTCCATCCAAACTTGATGTTTCCGAATTCCAGTATACTACAAAGCAAAAGAAGTATCTGGAGAATATGCTGAATCTTAATTGTGAAGACGATGATGAAGACGAATGCATGCGACTGAAGGTAATAATGTAAATGGCATCAAGCGGGTTGACTTTAGAATTTTCGTAAAGATGTGCCTATCTCAAAAAAGTAATAATTTTTGTAATGTGTGGTTTTGAATCTTGAAATCTTTGCTAGTATTCGAACTTGCCAAAAACCAGCACTTTATAAAAGTTAGGCACAGGGTAATGTCGCAGCGCAATGGCAGTCGGTCTTTCTGGACGCTGGCCAAGCAGATTGAAAAGAACTTCCCACACAGTAGCCTTCCACCACTTACGTGCCAGGATGGCACGATTGTATTCGACTCAAAGGCCAAGGCGGAAGTGCTAGCCAAGATCTTTGCTGCCAACTCCACCATGGACGTCCCCACCAACGCCCAAGTGCCGTCAATTCAAAGGATTCCCCACACTATGCGGGAGGTAACATTCAGGCATAAAACCGTAAGACGAGTGCTCTTGTCGCTCGACATCAACAAAGCTTCTGGTCCGTACTTGAGTCCTGCCATTGTACTGAAGAGATGTGCAGCGGAGCTTGCTCCAGTTCTTTCGCTTCTCTTCCAGATATCTTATGAATCCGGCACCTTCCCAGAAAACTGAAATTTAGCTCTGCTTTCTGTTATAAGTAAAGTGATGGAGAGGTGCATAAATCGCGAGCTTCTGGACTACCTCGAACGTCACAGCTTGATAAGCGACAGGCAAGTACGGTTTCCGCCACCAACGATCCACAGGGGACCTCCTAGCTTACGTCACGCAATTGTGGAGTAAACTCATCCAGTCTGATGGTGAGGCTCATGTCGTTGCTCTTGACATCACGAAATCGTTCGATCAGCTGTGGAACGCTGCCCTCTTAAGCAAACTTCCATCCTATGGCCTCCCAGAAAAGCTTTGCAGATGGGTGGCTGACTTTATCTGTGGCCGCAGGCTATCCGTCGTAATTGACGGATTCTCCTCTTCATCCCACAACATCAACGCGGGTGTTCCCCAGGGATTGGTCTTGGCTCCAACACTGTTTCTCTTACATCTCAACGACCTCCTTTCCTGCACGATCAGCCCAATCCACAGCTTCGCTGATGACAGCACTTTACATGCAGGAATTCAGAGTGACAAGCCGATCTCTGCCGCTGAGCTGGAAAAAAGAAGACTAGCGACGACTTCTTCTCTGACAAGGGGGCTGGGGGCTATCACTGCTTGGGGACGCAACAATCTTGTACAGTTCAATGCTTTCAAAACACAGTACTGTACTTTGACGAACAAAAAGCGTCCTGGCGCTTATACAGTTTCGATCGACGGCCGAGTTCTACCAAAGAGCCATTCATTTCGGCTGGTCGGAGTCCAGATCACCGAGGACCCTGATCTGGCACGAACACATCTCGTCAATAGCTGCAGCTGCTGGGAAAAAGCTAGGCTATTTGTTTAGGGATAAGAAGTACTTTTCTCCGCATGACCTTCTCACTCTATACAAGGCCCAGATAAGGCCTAGCCTCGAGTATTGCTCACACATTTGGGGTGCTGCCGCCCCGACTACATTGTCGATGCTCGATGCTGTCCAGAGCAGGGCGGTCCAACTGATCGATGACTCTTATCTTACAGACAGTCTCGGGACTCTTTCGCACCGACGGGCCGTCGGCGATCTAGCTCTTTTCTATCGCTACACCAACGGGCTTTGCTCCTCAGAGCTCTCTTCCATGATGCCGCCGCGCGATGTGCCTGCTAGACAGACCCGCCTGACTTCGGCATCCCATCCTAACCGAGTCAAACGTCGTACCTCCAGAGCTGGCAGATACGACCGCTTCTTTGTCCCGAGGGTGTCTAGATTGTGGAACAACTTACAAGGGGAAGCTTTTCCCAGTTCTACTAACCTTAGGCGGTTCAAAAATCGTATTAACAAAATTTTTTTGGGATCATCATAGCAGCCGCGGTGTTCCGGCATCTAGGCTTCTGCCTGCGCAGCTGTTTCGATATATAAAAAAAAACTTTGACCTCAGCGACTAATATTGGTTTGGGAAGGTGGCAAAAACAAAAGATATAGAACACGAATAAACATTGTTGTATTTCCTTTAAGCATCTCATCATTCTTAGGTGCGGGAAGTAATGCTATAATAGAGAGGTCAAACGTTTTATGACACTGAAAAAATTGAAATGATACTCGATAGGTGTCTTATCAGAATATCTTTCTCCTCAATTTAAATGGGGATATCAGCGGGTTTTGGAAACCTTTCAGTAGCATTTAAGAGCAAGCTTTTCTCGTTGGTTGAAGAGACCGCCAAACTAACAAATTTTATAGAATCAACCCTAATTCCTTTACATGCTGTGCTGCTTCTATACGAAGGGCTCTTAGACGAGACAGCTAGACGTGACACGAAATCGAGGCAACGTGACTAGATTGTGCTGCTCTTAAAGCATTAGGCCGATCCCCTTGAGGCGAATTATGTGACACCGCTCATTCTGATGTTTTTCGTCGCACTGTTTTTTCTACGTACGGGTAAATGCTGAGTAAACTAGTAAAGCAGTGTACAGGGTTTGTCCGGAAAGTAATAGGACTCATTTTCTTCCGCCATGACTGTACTTCGGCGTTCCTAGCTAACGAATGAGCGGCTGGTCAGTTATCTCCGAGCACTTGGAGAGTCAGGACAGGCATTTTCGCGCGACGTGTTTCTGTGAGTGGTGCAAACCGAAAATGCAGCGTTCGTTAGAGCAGAGGTACGCGATTAAATTCTGTGTGAAACTTGGTAAATCTGCGACAGAGACGTTTGATATGATCAAGCAGGCTTACCCAGGTGTTGCTTTAGCAAGAAGAGGTGTGTTTCGGTGGCACCAGGCCTTTTTGGATGGCCGGGAAGAGGTCGCTGATGAAGACCGTGCTGGAAGACCTTCGACTTCGACAAACACCGATAATGTGACTCGTGTGCGCAAAGTTTTGAACTCAGACCGTCGACTAAGTATTCGTTTAATTTCCCAGATGTTAAATTTACCAAAATCTATGGTTCATGACATTGTGACACAGCATTTGAACATGCGCAAGGTGTGCGCGAAGATGGTCCCAAAAGTGCTCACTGACGACCAGAAATTGCGGCGAGTGGAAGTGTGCCAAGAAAATTTGAACATGTGTGAAGGTGACCCCCAATTTTTGAATAAGGTAATCACAGGTGACGAGTCGTGGATCTTTGAGTATGATCCCGTGACAAAGAGGCAATCTTCCGAGTGGCACACGACGGTGTCTCCTCGCCCAAAAAAGGGAAGAATGAGCATATCCAAAGTGAAAACGATGCTCATTGTCTTTGTTGACATCAAAGGCATCGTCCACCATGAATTTGTTCCTCCTGGACAAACCGTCAACGCCAAGTTTTACGTGGAAGTGCTCAGGAGACTCAAACGAAGGGTCAGTCGGGTCCGACAAGACGTTGCACCACGACAACGCCCCCGGCTCACACCGCCTTTCTTGTGAACAGCTACCTGACCAAGGCCGGCATCCCAACGCTTCCGTAGCCGCCCTACAGCCCAGATGTGGCCCCCCGGATTTTTTCTTGTTTCCTCGCTTGAAAAGGCCGATGAAAGGCAAGCATTTTGATACGACAGAGGGGATCCAAGCAGCATGCACCGCGGCTCTCAAGGCTATTCCGGAGAATGCCTTCCGTGACGCCTTCAATACTTGGAAATCGCACTGGCAGCGCTGCATCGACGCAGAAGGAGCCTATTTTGAAAGTTTTTAAAGAATTGTAACGATTGGCTCAATAATTTTTTTTAAATCGACTCAGTCCTATTACTTTCCGGACAAACCCTGTATGTGTTGGGGTACTGAATAATTCAGATACGCTATACAGACGTTAGTAGAAACATAATCAGACGCACTAGGGTCTCTTTGAATGCAACAATTACCGAGCGACTTGATTTCTGAACCAGTGGATTATATGATATATGAATCTCAAGCTTTGGCGACGGTAAATTTTTTTGATGGTATCGTTAGATCATTGTTTCTTGTCGATAAATTCAAATTTGCGTCATGATAGGGCGGGTCAGTCGCCACCATTTTGAAAAACTCGTTTGGTTGAAAATTTTGAAAGCCATCGATTCTATGTAAAAAACTATTGGAAAGAAATTAAAGTCTGGGTTATTTTACTTCTATTAAAATTTGTGATACATTCAACAGGTTACGAGAAATTTAGGCGCAAAGGTACATGTAATATATTTGCTTATAATGGCTAAGCTGACAACCCAAGCGTGTAAAGACTACTATCCTTTTTTTAAGAATACAGTTTTTTATAGAAATATATAGGGTGTTCATTTGAAAACTTACCACCATGGATTTACCAAAAACCACTGGTTAAAAGAAAAAGCGCAGAGACAAGTCAAAAGATGTGTCAAGGGGGGCAGCTTTTAAACCAAAAACTACTTCATCCCCTTTCATCCTCGGCGGCCCCTCAGGGTCATTCCCTTAAAAATTTCAAATGACAAGGGATATCGATTAATATACTAAGTGACATATAAATCCGAACACCCAGTTTAAATGGTTTTATTTTAATAAAATTTTGTATAAGTACTTAATGAAGCATAATAAGTAAATGATAAAAATTTCAAAATGATTGCACTGCTTTAAAGCCCTTTGACCTTTAATAATGTGTGGATGCACCCTGATGTGCTACGCATTCTCCAACGCGCCTAGGCATGCTTCTGATCAGGTGGTCAATGTACTCCTGTGGTATCTCATTCCAGGCAACCACCAACTCCTCTCGAAGTGCTTCTAGAGTCTCAGGAGGACGTTGCAAATTGAGCAATCTCCTACCCATCATATCCCACACGTGCTCAATTGGGGATAAGTCGGGAGATCTTGGTGGCCATGGTAACAATGTGACATCATTATGTTGAAAGAAGTCTATTGTGACTCTTGCAACATGTGGTCGGGCATTATCTTGTTGGAAAGTTGGATCTGCCAGGGTGTCAAGATAGGGTAAAAGATGGGGTTCTAGAACTTCGTGGATATAACGCTGCGCGTTCATGTTACCTCTGATGAAGATTAAAGGTGACCTGGAACCATAAGCTATAGCACCCCAAACCATAACTCCAACAGTGTGATGAACATGTCTTTCAACAAAAAACTGTGGATTCCTCCTTTCACCACGTCGCCTTCTAACCCTGGCACGACTATCGTGCATGCCTAAACAAAATCGAGACTCGTCACTAAAGACAATACTGGTCCATTCCTGATCCCAGAGTGGCCGTTGTCTGCACCACTCAAGGCGATTACGTCGGTGTTCACAAGTTAAAGGGAGGACCCAGTATGGCCGGTATGAAAACAAGCCAAAACTTGCAATGGACCTGGTAGTAGAGAAACGGTCCCTTAAGGCCAATAATCTTAGGCGGCGATCTTCACGGTCTGTTGTTCTACGGCGGCGTCCAGTGCCCCTTGCTCTTTGCGTACGGCCTTCTCGAAGCCATGCCTGACAACACCTAACCACAGCATCTGCACTTCTTTGCACTCTAACTGCAATAGCCCGAAAAGAAAGTCCAGCTTCCCGAAGCCCCACTATACGGCCCCTATCAAACTTACTAAGTTGACGAAATCGAACAGGTCTCCGTACTCTAGGCATCGTAACCGATGTCAAAAACCAAAATCCGCCAACGTTGATTCTTTACTGCGGCTGAAATATTCATTTTTAGAGCGTTAGTGAATTAAAAAAAAAAGCAGAAAAAACCGGAATGTCCAACTGATAAGGATGAAAATTTTTTCACTTGTTATTTACAGTAAGATAAATACATTCACCAACTTTTATTAAAATAAAACCATTTAAACTGGGTGTTCGGATTTATATGTCACTTAGTATAGCTTGTTTGAAAGGTCTTACGAAGTCCTTCTTTTTGACGTTTGATTTTTTTTAAATCGATTTCGAGAAAATTAGAAAAATCTTTATTTATCTTAATTTGTTCAGATAGAAATCAAAAACACACGAAAACATCACTTTTTTTTCAATAAGTGTTCAAAATCTGTTGTTGTTGTTTGCTTTTAATTTTTGTATCTTCCGCCATATAATAAATATTCTTTTTAAAGTTACTTCTAAGCATGGTTTTTGATTCTGCTACGTTGATGGACGTTTCTCTTTTGGTCTTTTGGTCATTATACCATGCATGGCTACGATTCTGTAAATAAAAAAATGTTCTGCTTTAAATTTTCTTATTATCTTCTGTGTATTTTTTTGTATTTGCATGTACTTGATTTTTTTGTAGCTCTTGTTGGTTCTGAAAAACAGCTTTTGCTGATGTGACCCGCCAGGTAAAATAAAGGCCATTTATTATTATTATTATTATTATAATTATTATTATTATTATTAAAATGTTGCACGTTAGGGTTTGCCAAATCTACAATTCGTTTATAATTTAAAACGGAAACTGCCAACCTAAACAGCAATTCGGAAGATTAGACGTGGCAACAGCCAAATAACAACCCGAATTATTTTCCGCATTCTTCTCATCAACACAGGTATCCTAGTCGAACTGCATTCATTGTTATACCTGTTTAGTTATTTGTTGCTAAGGGAAAGAAAGCAATTAATTTACTGTCAGTTACTTTGTGACAATCTTGGGATAGTCCAGACCTGACAGACTTACAAACTGACACCGTGACTCAAGAGCTAAGGTTCCACGGACCGGTCTGACAACCAACGATGACTTGAGTCTTGGGATAGTGGAAATTAACTTATTGATTCAGATTTTACTTCCAAAATGGTTTACACACTAGCTGAAAGAGTGTAAATGATTCTAATTTATGGTGCCCAAAATCAATGAGTTCGGCAAACTGGCCCCACGTATGAGTAGAATGGCCTACTAGATATCCTGATTTGAGACCATTAGACCTTTTTCTATGGGATCATTTGAAACCTATTGTGTTTACTCCCCAACCTGACAGTTTGGATGAACTTTGTCAATGCATCTTCGAAAACTGCCAGGATGCCCCACAACATGTCTTCGAAAATGTCCGTCAGGAATTTGAACATTGCCTATATCATTGTTTGGTCAATAACGAGCAACATCTTCAACATTAAGTTAAATAAAGATTTTTCTAATTGTCTCTAAATCGAACTGGCTGATTTCAAAAAATCGAACGTCAAAATAAAGGACTTCGTAGGACCTTTCAAACGAGCTATTACTGTATACCCCTTGTCATTTAAAATTTTTCACGGGGTGACCCTGGGAGACAGCGGGTGAGAGGGGGTGAAGTAGTTTCTGGTTAAGAAGTTGTCTCCCTGGACGAAATCTTTTGACGTGTCTCGGCGTTTTTTCCTTTAATCAGTGGTTTTCGATAAATCTGTGGTGGGACGTTTTCAAATGAACACCCAGTATAATTTCTGTACATAGGATATAGCGGCAAACATTCTTCGCTATGCATCCCACCGAAAAAGTACCACAGGCGCTACCAATCCAATAAGCCAACAACAACCAAGCCAATCAGAAATACCATCAAAACTACGTAGCTCAGAGAAAAAACGGATCAGAGAAAACATCATACCATCATACTACAAAAAGTCCAACCAGATCATAGGCAAGAGCAGGAAGGTGTACACCATGCACGGAGGGATCGCCCTGCAAACCCAGAATTATCCAGATTGCGCGAATTGCAAGAATTTTCCTGAATGCCGTTTGTATCCAGGGCAGACGTACACGCATTCCATTACGTACAAGTTCTGGATAAGGGCTGGAAGCCCGAATAAGTGGATCAAGAGGAATATGAATGATGCGACTAAACGTGCGTGACCAAGTTTATATTTTGTGTGTTTGAATAAATTTGTATGAATTGTTTGTCAAAATTAATGCCATCGAGATTTCGATAAATATTGCATTTTAAAAAACGGCCCACTTCTATGCGCTTTTACTGCAGAACGCAAAGTATCACTTTACTGCTCAACAAATACGGCATTATTTTGAAAACGCCACAGTTCCATGCCTTGGTTTGCACATTTGTGTGATGTTTTCAGTCATAACTCAATAAAATTGGTACTAAGCAGAGCGCAAAGTATAATTGTGTTACTCGGTAAATAAGACATTTTTATAAAAACGCGTCGGTTATATGTCTTGGATTGCACGTACGATTTTGTTTCCATCACCGGAAAAACTATATTTTATTTCTCGCAGTCGGTCACGCGAAATTGACGCTTTCAGTGATAGCTTAATAAAATTTCTACTATCGGAAGCGCAAAGTATCGCTCGAGAAAAGTGATATTGTTTCAAAAATTCCACGGTCCTATGCTTAATCTTTTTCCTTCAACCGCTCGAAAAAAGCATTTTTTATTACCTGCAGTAAGGTATCCATTCGTAGTTTGAACAAATTGAACACGACTAAGAGCGCAAAAATCACTTTTGCGATGTATAAATAGCCGTTATTTCAAAAAACGCGTCACTTATACGAGTATGCGGTCGAACTGTACATAAGTTTTTCTTCTACAGTCGCTGGAAAAAGTATGTTATATTTATTGCCCATAATCAGGTACTCAAAATCTGCTGGTCATGTAAAATATAACTTTGTCGTTAGAAAACACTGCAGTAGTTAAATGACACTATCGGTATCGGAGTAGCGTAAACATACTATGACAGACTTGAGAATATATTAATGAGAAAATTCTAAATCTTTATGCATACCTTGCTTGCTGTTCTAAAAGTAATTCTGCTGCTGGGTAGACCTACTCCATGAGCATTTACAGCTTCAACGTAAACTTCATAATCAGTTTCGCTTTCTAGACCAGCCAATACATATGGGTTCTTGACCTGAAAATAAAATCACCGTTAAAATAGTCACATAACCAGCATTTGCTTGCATCAGCCCATTTGATATTTATTGGAGGCATCAAGAAGACCCCAACGCTTTAAGCATAAGTGTCTGTTTTCATGCACTTAGCTGCTGACATAAACCGCCAAAATGATGCTTTCTGATGCAAGTAATGCGGTTCGCAGGTTTCAAGAAAGAATTGCTAAAAACTTAACGAAACCCCAGTTTAGGTAGACGGGATTCGTGCGGTCATATCCTCACATCATCTATGATATTTTCCTCTGCTTTAATCCGTTATCCCAAGACTGAACTGATGAGCCGAGGAAAGCGATTAGATGCCTGGATGATATCACTATTTATTAAAGGTCGATTAATATTCATAATTTTATGTTTCTCCCTGCTGTGCTCCAAAATTAACATACCTTCTGTCTAACTTTGTAGTCTTCTTCTTCTTCTCCTTCTGCACCAACAGGTCGCAGTTGAACGTTGTAGTAAAGCACTGTGTCTGCAAGTCTCTTAGGTGGTTCCCATCGTAAAACAGCAAATTCAGTGTCAATGTTGGTGACTCTCAAGCGAGTGGGTTCAGTTGGTAGGACCCCGTATCCTTGCATTAGGCAGTTCGTGTATTCGCCCATGTAACGCAGGCACCTATAAACAAATCATTGAAAACGTAGTAAAAAGGAACAAAATCAGCTGTAATTGAAAATTGACCAACTGCATACGGAGACGCTTGATGCTTTTACGTCAGTGAGAGTAACGCTGGACTAAATCATTCTCGTTACTGATTCGATTCCGTGGTGTCAATTCCGATCTCAGAACCGATTTATTCGATTCGTTCATAATTCTTTTCGATTTTGATTTCCGCAATTTCAAAACACCATCGGCTTAATGAACGCTACAAAGGAACGAAACCTCAATGCCGACTACTGAATCGGAACTCGATAGTTCGATACAAGTACAGACGAAGGGTTCTCCTGGATGACCTTGGTGGTGGTTTGTTGTCGGGCATGGAATCATGAAGGCCGTACACGAAGCGTTAGAGGTACATTGCTTGGAAGAAGAACTGCCCCACACGCAGATCCTGCCCTAGGCTTTTCGCTCTACATGACCGCTTCTCGTCCACAAGGTCATTGCGGTTTGGAGCATGGAACGTCTATTATTATGAGTTGCTTGTTACCGGATCAACAGTTATAGACTCAGTTCATATCGAACACCGAAATGATCATGCAGAGAACGGCTGAACTGGGACCTTGAATGGAATTACTATTTTCACTAGTGAAGAATCTAGATTCTGATTGAGGATTCATGATGACTGTGCACGAATGAGAAGGCGACGAGATGAAAGACGAAAGTCTCAATTTCTATAGGAATGGTTGTGTAGCACACTGTTGGAATTATGGTATTGGGTGCTTATAGCAGCAAGTCACCTTTGGTGTACATATAATAATAACGTCTTTATTGGATAACCCGGAGAGACATAAACAGCGAAGTTTAGCCAAGGCTACTCTTACACTTTATGTCGGTTACATCTGATGTTCAAAACATGGAAAAAAATATAAGAACAATGAAAAAAAGAACACATATATACCTAAGTTTAAATTACAAATAGACACAATCTATATCTGTAGCAGAAATGCTTATTTAATCAATAGCGAGCAACATGCTTTTAGTATGTTTACGAAAACTTTCCAAAGACATCAATTTAATACTGTTGTCCAACTGATTATAAAATAGTGCTGCATTATATGTAAATCCTCGTTGGAATAATGTAGAAGTGTGTGGGGTGGTTCTGATACTATAACGATTCCTAACAGCCTTGTCATGCACTTCGTAATTAAATCTTAACTTAGCTCTTAGATATTCAGGCTTTGATGACAATATTATTTTATGAACTAAAACTAAGAATTTATGTTTGACCAAACTTCCTAACCTAAGCCAGTTTATGTTAATTCCCTATATTTATCACTTACGTGATGGTATTTACGCAACCCATAAATACAGCGAACACAGTTATTTTGGATGATTTGAAGACGATTTTTGGTCAATTGATCCAAACATGGATAATAAACGACATCACAGTAACTGAGCATTGACATCACCAAAGATTCGCACATTTTTTTTCTCAGCTTAAAGTTAAGCAAGTAGCGATTGGAATAAAGAGCCCTAGAACACAGGTAAGTTTTTTTCATCAAATTAGCTATTTGGCTGCTGAATCTTAATTTTGTGTCAATTTCCAGTCCTAGTACCTTAGCTGTTTGAGTATGCTGTAATGTTATGCCATCAATAGTCAGATGGAAAGAATCTTCGACAGTTTTCCTCTTCTGATCAGAACAAAACAATAACACTTGTGTCTTATCTGGATTAATAGCAAGATTATGTTCCATAGAAAACTGATGTACCTTATCTAAATCAAGCTGTAAAATGTCTCATGAATTTTGCGTATCTGAGGCGTCGAAATGGAATATTATTTGGGTATCGTCAGCAAATGTTTGTATCCCTGAATTGTCAACTGCTTTATGCAGGTCACACGTGTAAATCAAAAAGAGCACAGGTCCCAAAATTGAGCCTTGCGGAACTCCTGACGGAATAGTCGTAATATTGGATTGATCGTTATTGATTGCGACACATTGCGTGCGACCGGACAAATAGCTACGGAAAAAACTGACAGCAGCATCATCGAAGCCTATATACCTCAGCTTGGCGCACAAAAGTTTATGATTTATTCGATCGAATGCTTTGGAATAGTCAATTGATACCACTGCTGTGGCTAACTTTTTGTCAACTGCCCTAATAACATTATCACAAAGATCTAATAGTGCCGAGGTGGTACTATGGTGCTTCCTGAAGCCCGATTGACATGACCATATTATTTTAACTTTCTCTATGTAATGGACAACTTGTTGCTGTATAATTTTTTCCAAAATTTTCGATAGCACCGGCAACAAACTAATGGATCTAAGATGTTTAAGTTCAGTAGGTTTAGATATTTTAGGGACAGGTATAATTAGAGCCAGCTTCCAGAGCTTAGGGTGGTAGCCATTTTCCAAACATGGGTGTCATGTTTTACATCCAAGAGGTGAGAGAATTACATGTTCATATAAAGACGCCCACTTTCACCCATTGAACACGTCTGGGCCATTATGGGTAGAATATTACTACGCTTACGCCATCCTTCACAAACTCGAGTGGCACATCGGCACAAGGTACAAGTAGCGTGGGATGAGATACCTCAAGAGATTATCGATGATCTTATTAGGAATATGCCCAAATGTGTTTTTGAGCGCAGGAAACGCAGAGCGTGATCTATCACACCAGGAGAGCGTATAGCTGCTATTGCGATTCTGGTGTGATAGATGGCGCTTTGCTATGTCTTATTTCGATAGAGTGTACCTCCTGGATAGAGGATGATTACGATGCTTTCGTTTGTTGTCCAAAGCACATAACTCATATTTAATAAAACAAAGTTAAATGAGTGAGTTTGAAGGTACGTTTGTAGGCAACCAAATAATCTTATATAGTTAGTATGGAGTACTACCACAGAGTGGCGCTGATGCTGGATTCTTCCGTCTTTTCTTTGACAGTCCGATATGCAATGCTTTGACGTTGATGTATTCATAATTTTGAATTGGAAGTTGAATTTTGTGCGACGCCTTCGTTTTTATAAGTTTTGTATCGGTGATACTGATATCTATTGAGCGTTGAACTGAATTTAAACTTACAAACGTAATTTTTGTGATGGAGGCTTATCGAAAGCAAGGATTTAAAAAGTGCGTGGTGCCTGGTTGTACTGATACAATCAGCAAAACGCATACATTTACAAAATATGCCGCTCGTTTTAACAAATGGACTGGGCAACTGCGAAAAAAGTCACGTACAAATTTATTATAAAAGACATTTGGTGTGTGACTTACAGTCTTCGGAAAGTGATACACTGCCTAGGACCAAGTGAGTAATAACTTTCTTACATATATACTAAGTGACATATAAATCCGAACACCCAGTTTAAATGGTTTTATTTTAATAAAAGTTGGTGAATGTATTTATTTTACTGTAAATAACAAGTGAAAAAATTTTCAGCCTTATCAGTTGGACATTCCGGTTTTTATACTGCTTTTTTTTAATTCACTAACGCTCTAAAAATGAATATTCAGCCGCAGTAAAGAACCAACGTCGCCGCCTAAGATTATTGGCCTTAAGGGACCGTTTCTCCACTACCAGGTCCATTGCAAATGAATGGTTTGCAGAACACGGAAGACCTATTGGTATGCGAAGTGTTTACCGACGAATGAGCAGTTTTGGCTTGTCTTCATACCGGCCACACTGGGTCCTCCCTTTAACTCGAGAACACCGACGTAATCGCCTTGAGTGGTGCAGACAACGGTCACTCTGGGATCAGGAATGGAACAGTATTGTCTTTAGTGACGAGTCTCGATTTTGTTTAGGCATGCACGATGGTCGTGCCAGGGTTAGAAGGCGACGTGGTGAAAGGAGGAATCCACAGTTTTTTGTTGAAAGACATGTTCATCACACTGTTGGAGTTATGGTTTGGGGTGCTATAGCTTATGGTTCCAGGTCACCTTTAATCTTCATCAGAGGCAACATGAACGCCCAGCGTTATATCCACGAAGTTCTAGAACCCCATCTTTTACCCTATCTTGACACCCTGGCAGATCCAACTTTCCAACAAGATAATGCCCGACCACATGTTGCAAGAGTCACAATAGACTTCTTTCAACATAATGATGTCACATTGTTACCATGGCCACCAAGATCTCCCGACTTATCCCCAATTGAGCACGTCTGGGATATGATGGGTAGGAGATTGCTCAATTTGCAACGTCCTCCTCAGACTCTAGAAGCACTTCGAGAGGAGTTGGTGGTTGCCTGGAATGAGATACCACAGGAGGACATTGACCACCTGATCAGAAGCATGCCTAGGCGCGTTGGAGAATGCGTAGCACATCAGGGTGCATCCACACATTATTAAAGGTCAAAGGGCTTTAAAGCAGTGCAATCATTTTGAAATTTTTATCATTTACTTATTATGCTTCATTAAGTACTTATACAAAATTTTATTAAAATAAAACCATTTAAACTGGGTGTTCGGATTTATATGTCACTTAGTATATGTGCTGTGTAATCAGTGAATAATCAGGACTAAATGATTCTAGCATTTTGGTATCCTAAAAATGTTCACAGTATTTGCGGTTTGCACAACTTTTGGAGAAATTTACCCAACATAAACGTTATAAAATTTCATGCTTTTTTTAGGTATGGTTTCGGAAAATGTACAGAGTAGTCTCAAAACTCATGAAGGGACTAGAGAAATTGCTAAATGTAAATTTACATGATACATCGATAATACCGATCATTTTTAGGTTACTAACAACATGCATAACTGTTGTTTTCACGTATTGTATTAAAAAATTAAATATGTCTTGTATATAATTTGAATATTTAATTCAAATTTAGCTCTACAGTGTAAGAAGCAAGTCCAAAGGCGCTAGGTGCTCTATATTCTTAAAGGGTTCTATAACAGTTCCCATAGGTTTTATAAAAAGTTCAGAGTATATCCCAGGGATGGCGCTACAAACCTAGTGACAAACCTTATAATTACAGATTCCCTTATAAAGTAGGTGTTATGTGAT